GAAAGATACCTACTTTGTCAGTAATTCACGGAAATGTTGTTTAAGGCTTTTTAAAAGGGCATACCCTACCTGCCTCCTTTTACATCATGTTTCCAGATAATTTTTAAGTCCTAGACTATGCCTGTTTTAGAGCATTGCCCAGCTTCCTAGTGATCCTGACTCCCTAGGCACTTCTGCTCTTGCTTGAGAGCCTGGCTTCTGTAGGTGTCCAGAAACACACTGTTCTGAAGAGAGTGTTTGCCTCCTACCTGCCTTTCACTGTAGGGCAAGTTTAGGTCATGAGCTGCTCAAATTTCCCAGAAAAGCTGAAAGGCTTGTCACCTCGTGGCTGACCCATAGTTAGCATAAAAGGCTGCTTTGTCCTACTTATAAGCTTATCATGGTGGCACCCAGATTTGAAAAAAGTTCTTGAAGTACTCCAAGAAATGGACAATCTGGGATTTATAATCCACAGCTGGTTTGCCAGGCTGTCAGAATATTCTGAGCAAGAGCAGCTTCCAGTCTTGAACTAGGCTGGGAGGTAGCAGCAATCAGCTCCCTAGAATCAGGCAGTTAGCACAAGAAAAGGCAGTAGGATGCATCACCCCTTTTGTAAAAATGACCAAGCACTGTCATATCTGGGGCCCGTCTGCAGAAAAGGAGGAAGCGTTCTACATCCCTCCCCTAGCCATTAAGCTGTAGGGGAAACAGGAGAGATGGGCTTGCATTCCTGACAGTAATTACTGCGATTTCCCTTATAATTAAAAGATGATAGATCCATAACTTAGAATGTCCCTTTAGAGGGATGCATCTCTGGGGGCAACTTGGGTCAAGTAACATGCCGCCAGAAAATGGCTAGTGCTGAGGGACATCTGTGCTGTGTAAGTTTTAGGAGGTTTACTTCAAACTAGCTCATCTGGTCCCAAAGGCAGAATGCACTGTCGTGCTTGTACTGCCTTCACTGTGCCTCTGAAACTCATCTTTTGGATTAGTTTCCTCCAAAAATAACTTATTTGGGGCAGTTCAAGACTGCTGTTGTGGAAGCCAAGCCCATTAAAGCAGGGACAAGAGGGAAACACATTTCAGAAGCACAGTCCAAGGTGAAATGCTAACACAGATGCACCCATAAGTACCTGCTTCTGGAGGAACAGGAGGAATAGATTTGGACTCTGTTTCATTGCTGCTTTACTGAGGTAACGATCTAGTGGCTGGGCTCTTGTAATTCAGCCAGTATTTAACTCCAAGGCAATTACCAGGCATGAAAGACAAGGCCATGACTAAGTTCATTAGGTATTTTCCACGCCTTTCATCCTTTATTATGGTACTGATGGACTGGGGCTTTTTTTCCCATTATTCCCAATGGTTTCATACCATGGGAAAAAAAAAACTCTTTCTTGACCTACTGGTAACTGCAGCTTAATGTTAAGTCAGAATTCCCTTTGATAAAGACTTAATTTCATTAGGAATAATCATTTTTCCATTAAACCCATGAGGCTTAGAACAAAATACTCTTTTTTGCCCTTTAAACGGATTACTCTTAACTCACTGTAATTTTAAATGTTCTTTGTGCTCAGAAACAGCGCAGCTGCTTTTGATTGTATCTGATGGAAGAGGCCTTTTCTTGGAAGGCAAGGAACGAGTGACAGCAGCAGTTCAAGCAGCTCAGAATGCCAATATCTTTGTTATTTTTGTAGTGTTGGACAATCCTAATTCCCGGGTAAGTCAGTGAACAAGGGAGAAGTATTCAACTGCAGTGAATGAGAAACTGATACAAATCTTTTTCTTGTCTTTTTGTAGTGCTCTACAGCTGTCTTATCTTTTTCAGAGGTCAGAGATATGGAGCTCAATTTCAGTTTTTCATGTCTGTCAGATCTTTTGTGATTTCTCCCTCCTGTGATTCTTAATCCCTTTTGTATTAAAAAGAAAAAAGATTGGTTTCCATGCCACAGAAAGGCTAGCTAAGAGGTCCTGTCTTCAAATGCAAAGGTTGTAGATTTTGGCCACCAGAGAAGGAGCTGGCAGGTTGACAGATTTAGAGTTTTAGAGATGCTTTGTTCCATCTCAGTTTTGATTCAAATTGATCATGTCTGACAGCAGTCTCCATTTGAAATGGCAGCTGGAGCCAATGTGGAAGTAAATGTTAGACTGAAAGGAGTACAGGAGAGTTATCTAGCATCTGAACTGGGAAAGCTGAGTACCACCAGTTCTGCTGCTGAGAGTTGCAAGGTTCAAATGAAATTTGGCTGTAATGTCAAGTGAAAATTCTGGACAGTGAAATGTGTTGTTCATAAGCTGTATTAATTTTCTGAGCTGCTGTGCTGGGCAACTGAGAAGTTACTTTACAAGCAGCACAGCTGGGGTTTAATCTGAATTTTATCTTTGTAGTACTCAAATATTGTAAAATAACTTGAAAAAGAATCTTGTATCACTGCACAGATGTAAGTTGAGCTCAGCCCTAAAGAGCTTACAGATCACGGGAGCTTACAGTGTCAGGAACGCATCCGTGTATAAAACTGAAGTGCTTAAGTAAACTCAAATCATAAAATACTAAGGAAAGATGGGATTTATTTATGGAACTTAGTTTTGCAGAAACTTAAGATTAGTCTCTTCTAGCCTGTAATTTGATGGTTAGAACATGTTTGTCTAAAAGGGTAAAAGTACTTAGCTGCTTTGGTTTGATCTGCCATCGGACACTTACGGCTTTTAATCTTAGAACTCTCTTATTCTGATTTAACAGAGGAGGAATTAAAACTATTTGAAGTAGTAACATATTTTTTCCTTTTCACAGGATTCCATTTTGGACATTAAAGTACCTATATTCAAAGGTCCTGGGGAATTGCCTGAAATCAGATCTTACATGGAAGAATTCCCCTTCCCATTCTACATGATCCTTAGGGATGTGAATGCGCTTCCAGAAACTCTCAGTGATGCACTCAGACAGTGGTTTGAGCTGGTGACTGCCTCAGACACTTTGTAGACTTTGTAGACAAAGTCAGTACCTGATTGCTGCAAAGCCACTGACATAGATGAAGTGGCACTTCATCACAGAGTTCATAAAGCCTCTATAACTAGGATTAATGTGCAGGAGCTGCCCTCTGGCAGGTCAGACTGGGTAAGAACACAGTGGTTTAGGGGCATTCTTCCACATTTGTTAGAGGACAGTTATGCAATGGTGAGACCATCATCTTCTTTCATTGCCTAGTCTCAAAAATAATGCAAAACTTTTCAACTTCTCTTGTAATAACTTACTACTTCTAAAAAATATTATTGTGCAATGTTCACAGCAGTGATATTATTCCTGCCACTGTCTATTGCAATAAGAAAAAATGGTATTGCTTCTAAGGCAGTTCTGCATTAGAAGAACTTCAGGTGTCTTTGCAAAAAAGCATTCTTTAGCTTCACTCATGTGGCAGGTGCCTCTTTGGAAGGAGTTCGGGGAAGCAGATGGTTTTAAACAACCAAAAAACAAGTACTTGAAAACCTGAAACTGTTTTGCAGTCTAACACATCCTACTTAATTATTGCTGATTTTTGTCTGACAGTACCAACAGGAGAATAATGCCATACAATCATCCTTATCTGATCAAGTTTACACTGTGAAGTTTGCCCCTCTGTCCAAGGCAGACATTGAGGACCTTTCGTTAATCTGATGTTTAAGAGCACGGACATGATTGTTCATTTCAAAAGCTATGCATCTTATATTGTCAGTACTAATAAAGAGAGGTACCACTGTTTGTAATTATGACGGCTCTTCTTTCAGTTGATCACAGCTTGAATAAATTTGCCTGATGGAAAATGCTGTGCATTCTCTAGCAGTGCACAAAGTTCCATATGAAAATGTATTGTGGTTTATGTAATGTCAACACCCATCTTCCTTTCATGAGGATAATGCCAGCACAGAATTTTGATTCAGGGTCCAGTCTTTGTGACTTCTCTCAAAGGAAACCTGAAGGAAACTTTGTTTTAAATGCCCCTGGTCTAATCTCTAAAGCTATTCTTTGTGTACAGAAATTGGAGGTGACTAATTCTAAGTGTGGTGCAGGAGTTGCTCAGGAAGCAGCTGGAAACGTGGGTGAATGCCCGAAGATGTGATTTGTTCTCATTGGCTTCTAGGTAGAAAAACCTCACTTGGTGTGGCTGTTCTGAGGCGCAGCAGTGATAAGACCCAGAGGCTGTTTCTTTTGTTTGTGTCGCTTTGCCACAGCTCATTCACAACAAGCACATTTCAGAACTGCAGACTTAACAGGGGAGCTCTACCCCATTAGCAGTGAAATGTCAGGTACCGTGTTCTGTTTCCAAGGTGCTTTAGATCTCTCATAAGCGAGCACAAATACTTGGCATGCTTTGGGAAATTTAGCTGTGGAAGTAGGTGGTTTTTGTTCGTTGGATGATTCACCGGCGCGCACTTCAGATTTTTACTGAGGAGTTGTAGTCACTGGAGAACATAGTTTAGAACATAGTTTAGAAACCGAAAGTTTCGCTAAGATGGCAAGGATCTGTTTCCAATGCACGTTGTAGTTTGTTGTTCCAGTTTGTTGCATCTGCTTCCTGGTGTCCTCGGCTGCAAGCAGGTCTCCAGGCACCGACCGCGGGCGGGTGCAGGGGGGGATTGGCCTCCGGCTCGGTGTTGAGCTCCGCCTGTGCTCTGGGGCAGAAGCACCCGCGGGCTCCCGCTTCGCCCACACAGAGGAGGAGGCCTCCAGAAGCAGCGGAAATGGCGGCTGGTGCGCCCCGCCCCCTAGGGGCGGGCTCGACGGCGGCGGTGGGAGGGGCGGGGCTGCGCGTCATGGCTGCCAGCCGCCTGCCGCCCGGTGCGCTCAACCTGAAGCAGGTACGGGCGGGCGGGTGGACTGCTCAGGTTCCCCCCGGCAGCCGCAGTGCTGACAGGGCCCCCGGCATGGGTGGCGAATGGCAGCAGAGAGACTGAGGGAGGTGGCCGGTGGGCGGGAGCCGCGGGCTGGGCCGCGGCGGCGGGTCCTGAGGGGTGAGGTGGGTCTCGCCCATGTAATGCTGCATGTGCGTGTGTGCAGCTGGCCTGAGGCACCGCAGCGTGCTTCGAATGCCCCTTCCTATGACATTCAAGCTTCATGGAGTGGGATCTTGGGCAGTACTGCGCGGTGGGGAGCTGTGGTCGTTGAATGTCCCACAGTCTCCGAGGGGTCAGCTCGCAGCAGTGTCCTTGGACAGCGGATGGACTTCCCTCTTTCCTTCCCAGTTCCTGAGGCGACAGCAGGTTCTTCAGTTATACAGGAAGATCCTCAGGGCTATCCGTGAGGTCCCTGCTGAAGCAGATCGCCGCTATTTAAAGGATTGGGCCAGGGAGGATTTCAGGAGAAATAAAGATGCTACAGATGAGGTGAGGATCGGGAACCCCGAACCCTGAGTGCCTGCCCTCGGGAATGATCAGTGTGTTGTCCTGCAGTTCGTACAAGGGTTGTTATAGGTGTCACTTCGAGGCTGGTAAGAGCTTTCCTAGGGCTGTTCTCAGGAGCATTTATATGAAGAATTCATCTCTAAATACGATCCCCCTGTTGGCAGTAGTAATGTTTCTCTTAATTTCCAGATAATAATCTGGAATTAAAACCTAAAACCCAAACCCATGCTGCTTACTCAAACCACTAATAAGAAAAATTGTATGGAGTAATACAGTAATGTACTCATTAATGGTCAAACTTTCTATACCTTTTTTTCATCTTAAATTTCAAGCTGAACACAATCAAATTGGGCAGTTGTGTCTAGGAAGCATGTATGAAATGCAGAAACCTTCACATTTCTTGTATGTCTACTGTCCTCCACTTTATATTTTGATCCTTTTTCTAGCCAGTCCTGAAGGTATTGCTGGCTGAATTACACAAAGTATTACAGGACTTGTATCAGAATAACATTGAAACACCCCCTTGCTGTGCAAACACCTGTCTGCATAATGCCTCTGTGCAGTTGTCACTACTTGCCTGCAAAGGCAGTAAACACAGAGGCACAAAGAAAACACTATTAGAAGTTTGAATCCAGTTCCAAACTGAGTTTTAAAGCAAAGCTTTAACCAGCCCCCAAACTCATTGTTAAATTAATTCATTTGTTCACTTGGTTTTTAACCATCTCAGTGATTATAGCATTAACTTCACACAAAAAAAACATCACAATAGTGCTGGTAAGAATTGTATGTATTTTAATGTGGTAAAATCCATGTGCTTGTGTAAAACCTGGGCTGTGAACAAACGTTTGGTTCAGTAGATTGCATTTTGGTTTACAGGATGCCATCAGGATGATGATCACTCAAGGCAACATGCAACTTCAGGAACTTCAAAGAACACTTAAGCTGGCAAAATCCTGATCTTAAGTTTGTTTACAGCTGGACTTTCAGCTGCTGCAAACAAGGATAGTATTTCTTCCAGAACATGGTTACAGTAGCAGCCTTTGCTGGCAACCTGGTAATGCCTGAAGGTGGAATCTACATGGTGGTGGTTTTGTTTATTCCTCTTCCTCATCTCGGTTTGGCTACCCTCCCATGTGGAAATCACTGAGACACAAAAGGATTTTAAAGGCCTGAATGGATGATGTAGCATGTGCTGTGGGAAAAGCAGAAAGCACCAAGAACTACAGCAGCAGTGTTACACCAGGGAAATGGCAAATGCATGTAAGACAGATTATTTTGTCTGTTTTCTATTGTGGCAGTTCTTAAGTGGTAACATTTATAGTGGCAACAGCTCCTTCTGTACTGTGCCAAGGACTTTTACCAAAATTTGGGATTAAAAAACCCTGAACATTTGGGATAAATAAATAGGCCCAAAGCAAATAAACATGATAAAACATAAAGCAAGTGTTCTGTGTAGACAGTTTTTCAGTCCTAAATGAATAAAACTTAAAAGGGGAGATCTTTATATATGAAAATGAGTTATTTTATCCCCTGAAACAGTTATGACCCAGTTAACAGGAATTACCTTCAACTTTTAATATTTAGAAGTCAATATAAAGAAGAATTGTGACAGAAAAGACTAACTGCAAATATTGTGGTCTGGTTTTCCAAATGTTACGTTACTCAACTTTTAATTGTTAGCTTGCAATTGTTCTTACCTCCCTGTGAATTACAGTTTATCTTCTTTTTCTAAAGTGAAAAATGCCAAGGTGAGTCTGGGATTCTCTCAGCATAAAAAAGACAGACAAAAGTAGCTGGATACCTGACTATGCAGTAGTCAGGTACTTGCTTGCAATTTGGGTCGTGGTTTCAAGAGATAAAGGAACCCTTCCCTCTCTCTCTCTATTACAATTCATTTGAGAAGCCACTTGCCCATACCAGCTGGACAGCCTCACAGCAAGTGTGGCAAGTGCCACCATGTTGGTAAGTGCCACTGCTGGCACAGGGGAAGGGATAGGCCCAGATGGCCCCTCCAGGCTATGGGAGAGAAGGAAGAATGCTTCTTCGTGGAGCCAAACAAAGGGTCTTCAAAGTTACATATTTAGCAATGCAGGAAAGGATGTGTTGCAGACCACCAGTGAGGCTGTTAGAAAGTTCAGGTTTGTATAGACAGAACTTAAGTATGTCTAAATATGTTGTTGAAAATCTAAATTTTGTTAATGTTTTCTGATAGAATACACTGAACATTAGTGTGTTGGGGCTTGATTCTTCATGTTACCAGAAAATGCTGTTTAGAAAGGAATTTTGGCTAACCAAGCCATAATCAATGTTGGCTGTTTCTCACATGTAACTTCCCCCTTCCCCTGAGCCAGTGGTTTGATTTCTGCTCTTTAATTATGAGATTTTCCCTGCTGCCTCACCACGGTGCTTTTCATTCACAGCTCTGAGCCTGCATTACTCCTTCGACTCCAGTTTGTATGTTTATAGGTTGTGACCTCAAAACCAGGAATAGATCTTGACAGGGAGTGCCCCATGAGTGCTGCAGTCCATGATCTCCACTGCGTTGTTGGCTTGTCAAGATAAAATTGCCTGCCAGAAGGCTTTAGGTGTCTAAGTATAGTCTGCTACAGTAAGTAAGTATACTCCCAAGTGTGTGCTGTGAAGAAAAGTAGAGAATACAGGTATTTTGTGCAATCCTTCAACTACTGTAGTTCTCATAGAATAACAGAAAGTTTTGGGCTGGAAGGGACCTTACAGGTCATGCTCCATCCCTGGCGGTGTTCAAGCCCAGGTTGGACAGAGCCTTGGGTGACATGGTTTAGTGGGAGGTGTCCCTGCCCATGGCAGGGGGGTTGGAACTTGATGATCTTAAGGTCCTTTCCAACCCTAACTATTCTATGATTCTATGATCATTTGGTTCCAAACTCCTGCCATGGGTAGGGACACCTTCCACTAGACCAGGTTGCTTGAAGCCCCATCAATTTGGCCTTGAGCACTGCCAGGGATAGGGCAATCTAAATCTGTCAGTTTAAAGCCATTTCTCTATGTCCTGTCACTACATGCCTTTGTTAAGAAGTCCCTCTCCAGATTTATTGTAGGCCCCCTTTAGGTACTGGAAGCTGCTCTAAGGTCCCCCTGGAGCCTTCTCTTCTCCAGGCTGAAGAAGCCCAAATCTCAGCCTGTCTCCATAACAGAAGTACTCCATCCCTCTGATCATCTTTGTGGCTTCCTCTGGACTTGCTCCAACAGGTCCACGTATCTCTTGTGCTGGGAGCCTGAGCTGGATGCAGTACTGCAGGTGAGGTCTCGTAAGAGCAGAAGGGGAGAATAACCTCCCTCACCCTGCTGGTCATATTCCTTTTGATGCAACTCAGCATACAGTTGGCTCCTCCTTTTGAAGGAGGGGTGACTACAAAGAGCAGTAGAAAGGAAGGAATTAGCAGAAGGTGCCTCCCTTTATTTTATAGTATGCTTGTTAGCATCAGAAAACCTCTAAAATCTACTCTGCAGTAAAGTTACTGTCTGAAATTACTGCTCCAATGGATATCTTGGTATTGCAGTTCATGTGTGAAGCAGATTAGGTTAAATCCATAGGTTTTCCATCTCCCTTGCACTTCTGCAAGCTCAGGAACTGTGTGCCATCATCTGCACGCTCAGCCCGGTGCCCCTAACTTCTGAAATGGTGGGTGTGTGCAGCCGCTAACAAATTGCAGTCAGCCCCTGCAGCCTCCCTCAGCACAGACAGTAGAACTGGTTCCTGTGTTTCATAGCCACAAACACAAAAGCTGAGAAGTCAAATTTTCTGCTCCCCGTTCTGAATCAAGTTCAGGGGATTCTGTCTATTTTCTCTTGCTAGAAAACATCGCACCACAGACTTCTAAGCAACACAGACTTCTGAGCAACACTTATTTTAATTGCTTGGCAAAACATTCACTTTATCAAGATGATACAAAACTTAAATAGCATGCTTCTGCGTTCCTACAGTAGCTTAAACAAAACTGTAAACATATGGAAGTGTCTATGTTAGACTACAGAAGTCAGAGCAATAAAACTAGTGCTTCCGTAACTGCAGATACACTTTTCTTGTCTTGATAGTGCATTAATAGGAACTTTAAAAATATTGCTATATGATACAATATTTTTTTTGCTTTATACATCTGTTAAGAAGACAAAAGTTTAATCACTAATTAGTCAGTGGTGTCTTCAATACTGTGAAGTATTTTGTATCGATTTTAGGGCTCCTCAGTACAGAAAGCAGAATACCTTTCTCCTTGGCATAACAGTACTATCCTGTGTTTGAGCTGGTTCTGAACAACTGTTCTGTCATGATCTATTAACTTACATTTCTAACAGAATCTGATGAAGCCTTCACAGAGGGACAAGGAGGAAGCCCTAAAGGGGTGCAGATGCAACAGTGCTGATCTGGAATGTCAGCCTGAGCAACACTGGCCATTGTAAGTTTTGATTTTATAACACAACACATCCATAAAAACTTTTAAGATGATGTTGAGCTCTATTTTGTGGGACTGTTTGTGAATCCAGTCCTAAGACCTGCAGGTTCACCAAGGCTGGGCCTATCTTTTTAGAGATACAAGGGAGGGAAAAACCAGAGAGAGGAACAAAGGGCAAGGTGTCTGAGAAAATCCTGACTGTAGAAAAAGAAACATTTGAGTACAAGAAGCTTTCACTTCTCTAGATAAAAGGACTTTCTCAAGCTTCTTCAGTAGTGGAGAATTCATCCATTTGCTGATTGAAGAAGAGATTTATATAAGAATTATACATAGCAAATAGAACATGGTTATGGTAAAATACTTGCCATCCCTGAACAACTTCCCTGTCAGATTACTGAAGTATAGCCCCACTTTTTAACCACAAGGAGCTTTGCAAGCAGGACTCCATAAAAAAAAAGGACAAATCTAACTTAGCTTTTGTTTTAATGTGAAACCAAGAGAAAAGCAAAGTGGCAACAGAAGCCTCTGTACCTAATATGATGTATCTCACTCAGTGGGAGCCTGGCCTCTCCCACCTGGAAGCCTGCATCTGTCACCTATATGGGTTCGTAATTGGAGTTGGTTCTGTAGCTGCTGTCCACTGACTAGAGAGAGGCTAAAATAGTATCAATAGCCCTTCATCACTAAAGAATTCTGTCAAAAGCTCTCTGGATTCATTTCAGTATTGGTATCACCACATAGTTACATGTAGCCTCCAGTGGAACCCTCTAGCCACACATGACCTATGTGGAAATAAGGACATTCCCTTTTCAGAAAGCAGTTTTGGTTTCTAATGCAGTTTGTGTTCAAGCAGCACCTGGAAACTGAGAGTGCAATATTTAGCAGATTCTTGGAACTAACAAAGAAAGGAACTAATGTGCAGCATCTCATTGTCATCAGTACAGTCTGCATATGAATTCTTGATTCTGGAGAACTAACTCCAAATTCAGTTCCTTCTCCTGAAAAAGAGGATTTTGTTTGGATGTAACAGGCACTACAAATACATATATACACCAGTATTCCAGATTCCCATATGGCAGGTTCCAAAATGGGTCCTGTTGCTTGTCTTTACCTGCTTGGTAGACGCTAGCTCTCTTTTTGCACCTTAGTCCTTAATTTGCTGAGCTCCTCTTCTAAGCTTTTAATGTGTTCCTTGAGTGCAGCTTTGTCTTGCTGCGCTTTCTGGTTAGCTTGGCACCGGGCTTCTTCTATCTTCCGTTCATACCACTTCTCCATCTGTGTGGAAACGGCCTCAAAGAAGTACTGCGTTATCTCCAGGGCCTGAGAGGTGTCTCTGAGCGCAGGGGCAGGCGGCTGGCCCGCAGGCAGGACAGAGGGCTGCTGCTCTTGGCTCGGATGTGCCCCAGCGTGGTGCACAGCTTTGTGCCTCGACTGCCCACTTTTGCTGGACTTCTTTGTCTGCGTTCCTTTGTCAATGAAGTAGCCACTCTGTGGTTCAGTCTTTGCAGGTTCAGTCAAGGGCTGCAAAGCAGCTTGAACCTTAACGTGTCTTAATTTAGAGCCCACAAGCTCGGATGAGGGCAGCTCCTGCTGGAGCCTGTGGAACGTGCTGGCACTCCCAGCTTTGTCCTTTGGCCTGACATCTTGAGCAGGGGCAGAAGAAGAAACCGGTCTGCCAGTGATTAACTGTTGCTCTGTACCTACAGAATAAAATAAATACATAGATATTTAGGAAAGCTCTGGGCATGCATTTTGGCATCCAGAAATCCTTGCTGTTTGATGCATGATGCAGTTTCCCATGGACCGTGCTGTGTGTACACTAGAGGCTTACCTACCTTACCACATCTTCACAGTCAGGTGATACAATAAAGAGTCATTAAAAGAGAAAAGCTGGCTCAGGCAGAGAGCACTGCATTGCAGCTGAGGGACTACAGATTGACAGCAATCAAAGGACTCTACGAGAAGAACATGTAACAAAGACCAGGCTACATTCCTAAAGTAGTTTAGATCTTCTGATACTCATGAACTCCCTGCTTCTACACAACTTAAAGCCCCACTAATTTTTCAAAGGTAACACATTTTGATGCTTCTGAACTGTTCTTCTGCATTTCTAGTCTGATGGGGTATTCACGCCTATGTCTGTTCACTTTGCATAGTGGTTGGGGGGGGGGGGCATATACAGTGTATTTTACAGAAGCCAAGGGTTTTGACAGCATTCTCCTTGCCTGTGGAGACCCAGCCAGTCTCCCCTTCTACTTTTTACCTCAAAAGCTTCCCTGGCCAAGCACAGAGAGGTGGCTCGAAATGCTGATCATTGACTGGGCTGAAATGTTCTCAGCTATTTCTGTCGCTGTCAAAGGAGCTAATAGTTAAATAGACTTTGATTCAAGGGAAATGAGTATTTTAGGTTCACATCATTGCACCCTGCTGATATAGGTTCCATGCATCTGAAGAGCATTAAATACACTTCCTTCAGTAGACTTTGGATAATATGCACAACTTCCCACCAGAAAACAGGGTAGGAGCACTTCTGACTGGGAAGCTGGAGGAATTTCAGAAAACAGAATTATTCAGAGCACCAAAGAACTTGGCTTCAAAGACACAGTGACATGGTAGCATCAGGAAGAGTCAGTGAAGGGAACTGTGTCTTAAAATATTCCCAGCAGCTGCCTTGGAGTGTTTTCTAACCCCAAGACATACGGGATGGGGAAAGCACACAGCCAGAATTAATGTCTGTGGTATTAATACAAATATCCTTCAGCTGATGAGCTCGCCTTTGAATCAGTATGACATTTAAGTACCTGATAATGTTGTACCCGACGTACCATCCTGTTGAATGCAAAAATGTTGGCCAAAGTTCTGTTCTGGCATCTGGCCTCTGGTCCTTCCCTCATCTTCTGGAGGGCTATTTGGAAGCGTGATACAGGAATGCTGGTGGGAGCCCTCTGACTGCAGCACAGGCTGGTTGGCTTTACAGTCCTTGGCACTGTGGGGGTTGTTCTCAGTATCCAGAGTCTCAGTGAGAGACTCACAAGTGGACAAAGTTGATTTTGGTCTTGATGACCTGGAATCTCCAGACAGCTTGAGCTCCAGATTCTGAATCTTCAACATGCACCAAGTCTTCAGCTCATCCACCAAGGAAATCTATGAGAAAGAGACTGTAATTAGATGAGCCCGTGATTAGATCCAACAGTTACTGAGCTGCTGAGGACATGTGGCAAGGACAAAGAGAAGTAAGCTGAGTGTCTGTGGGCTCAGATTCCCTATACAAATGCATGTGCTGCCTCTGTTTAAAGGACTGCAAATCAGAAAAGATTAAGAACTAGGCATTAGTGAATTAAAGGCACCCTCCTTAGTTCCAGCTACCACCTCTTAGATTTGAATGTGCTACTTCAAACACATTAAGTCCTCTGATCAGGGATGACTGTTTAATTATAACAGTCAATGGTACTTTCTAAGGAACATCACGTGTGGTCAAAGCTGCTATTTTTTAAAGAGTGGAATTCAAATTAGACACTCCTGGGACACTGCTTTATACCATTGCCAACCTCTGCTTGTGGTAAAGATGAGTCCCACACTAAATGATAAATTACTAACAGCTTTCAAATTACAAAGGTGCTTAGTAAGTGTCAGATGTGGAGGCATTTGCCAGTCAGCATTTACATTATGAGTAGCTCTTTTACTCTCTCATTCATATGACATCATGAATTTAGGTCTGGCCCTTCTCTGTACATGTATATCTAGTGAAGCCCAACTCAATATTTTCCAGTAATTTCAATTAGAGCAAACAGGACATGAACACACATTTCTTAGCATGTTTTAATGGTGAGTTTTTTGCAGAAGCTAGAGGCCAGAGCTGGATCTCTACAGGAACAGCTAATTCTTGTCATGCTGGTTAAACAAGCACATGAACAGAACGTGCCTATTGGCAGTAACATTCAGCTTGGAGATGGTGCAGTGTTGCCAAAGTCAGATAGAACTGCAGCCTTTTAATGCACAGGGAAAACAAGATCAGACAGAGAAGAAGGGAGAGATTCGGGCACAACCATGGGGTTGTTAAAAGGAACAATGCAGGGTCTTGGTCTTGTTACCATTTGCAGATGTTCCTACGGACATCCTTTAATGAAGCTAAAGCTGAAAGCACAACTGTTAAAAATTTAGTAGTAGGAACCTTCTGCAAAGTACTTTGTTAGGAAAAAAGAACATTTTGTTACAGATCCCATATTTCAGAACCACCAAATTAAATTATGACAGACTGGATTTCACGCTCTCCATTCCTAATGCAAAAGCTTTATAAAGCTGGTTTACAGATTAAGGTGGTGATACCAGGGAATAATTTGGTCTTTGAAGCTCTTTTGTCTCTTTCTGCAGAGAAGTCGCCAATATTCCCTCTGCCTGCTGACGCAAAACTCTTGAGCTGATCCATCTGGGCTAACAGGGAGTAGCTGGTTCAAGCCCTACCTGCCGTTTCTCCCCCTCTTTCTTTTCCAGCTCGGTGTGCTGCTGCAGGCGGTGAAGGCACTCTGTTCTCTCTGCCGAGAGCCGCTCAGCCATGAGCTTGTCTAAAACACGGAGCTGGGGTGGGGGGAAACACACCGTAACTTAGCTGAGGTGATCATGTTAAAAACCAAACAACCCTCCCCCCACCTGTGAACCTTGTCAATCAAAGTCCTGTCTGTCTTTCAGTGTTCATTTCTAGGACTGCTGCCAACGACAGGGAGATGTAGCTTGCAGAAAGGTTCCATCACAGAATTAGTGATGGATAACAATTACATTAAAAACAACAAATAATTTAGAGGATCTTGAATCTCAGTGCAAGAAGAATTCAGTAAGAGGGATTTTTACAATTACAAACTGATGAGCTGTAGGACCGCCTTCCGTCTCTAAATTTCCCTCTTACAGCCTCAGGCAGTTTAGATTTATTGTCTAAAAAAGCACCAGAAGCCACTTTACACATTAAATGTGGGTTTTGCAAGACTCTAGTTTTCAGCATTAGGTCCCTGTGGAATATCACAGTTCCCTGGCTAGAGTATTACATTTCTGGTTCATTTTACCACACAAGAAGCAATAAGTGAATCATGACAACAAAAATGTTCATTAAGCTTAGGGTATGTTTTCATCTGGGCAAGCAGACCTCCAGGTCATAGTCTTACTTGATGTTGAGTTTTGGTTTCCATCTGGCCCAGCTTAATATTCATCTTATCTTGTACTGTCCCAAACTCAGCTTTTATCTCTTCCACTGTTGCCTCCAGCCGATTCTCCAGTTTATTTATCAGAGGCTCACAACGACATCCATTTATCGGTGCCTGAAAAGAGTCACACATTAACTTGCTACATCCCACTGTCCTCTTGGTGAACTTGGAAGGCCTCCCCAGTCCAGTCATGGGCTCTTCTGTACCACGTGCTGTATCTCAAACTCCTGATAACATCTTAAAGTAGCTCAGCAAACAGGCTATTAGTGGTGAAAGTACGGACTAGAAAAGGCTTGATATGATTTATATGGACACAGCCTAACACACAGCAGTGTTGATTTTGCTGGGGCTAGAAGCAGCAATGAGCTCAGTTCATGTACGCCATGGTCCTGTGTGCTGTGTAAGGGGATCCCAAACACATGCTGCAGTTCTGAACTGTACCAAAAAAAAGGTTTTGTGGACATGTGTGGTTTTGTGTGCATTTGTTTTCTAACCTAATGACAATAATGTGCTCTTTCTGTTTGTTTTGGTGCTGTGTAGCTGCTCCTGCCTGCCTTCACCTTGCTGACATTCGGCTGACCCTTGCCTGCTGTGCATACTGCTGCCTTTGACTCACTTGTCCCAAATCCCAACACACTTCTGCAAGGGGAGCTGCATGACCACATTTAAATCTCTCAGGGAGATGGTCTCAAAAGGCTCCCTTATGCAAGGACAGCTGATTCTCTTTGGCTTCCTCTGCAGTCTGAAGGCTGGAATCTGCTCCTTCAGGAGGCAAGTCAGGAACCCAAAGCGGCTGCTCTGAATCTGTCCACAGACGAGCCTCCTTCCCTCTCTCCTCTGGCCCTGCAGTACTGTTTCACAAATTGGGGGTTATTCCCTTGGCAGGGGAAGGTGATTGGTTTGCTCAGCACTAAAGCAAGCTTCAGAAATACAGGTACTCAAGAAAATCTGCTCTTCAGGGCCTGAGGACATCAAAGATGACAGGCGAGAGAGAGCTGTGTCATTTATTTCAGGAAATACTATGTACGGGTGTCTAGCTCTATTAAGCTAATCTTTGTGAATTGATTGTACACAAATCCTATCTGCTCTCTGCACCTTTCTTCCTGCTCCCCAAGTCTCTCGTACCATCCCATCTCCTACCACTAGATCCCAGGGGCAGGGAAATACTCCTTTCAACAGATGAAAGCTCCTGGTGGAGGAGCTTTCATAATCTCTCTTAGGACATATATTTCATATTCTCTCTTAGGATAATCCTGCAGTGCCTGTCTGGAAATTTTCCAAGCATTACACAGGGAGATGGTAAAACCTCCTGAAGTCTGCCTTGAGAGAACTTCAGTCTCTCTGAATGTTTTAACTACAGCAAGGGACTGAGGAGAGCTGGATGATGGCTCTAAGAAGCTAAGGAAATGGAAGGATTGACGTCCCAGAGGTACAGGAGGGCAACATGAAGAGCACAACAATATGGACATTTGCAGTGTCTACAGGGGAGTTTGCTGGTTTCATGCCTCTTTTTAAATAAATGTGTACTGTTAAATATTTGCATAATAAAATGATTGTCAGGCTCTAAGCTGTAATAGGTGCCCCGGAGCTGGTAACTCCAGATTTATTTGTGAATCAGTTTCTGTATAGCTCCTGCCTCCAGTAATCCTAGAATTCCTAAAGATGCATTGCACTAAACAGAAAGAAAAGTGCTTAAGCTCTTGGTTTAGTGAGCTTCAGTGCTCACCCACTGCTCTCAGTTACTCGCCTTAGAAAAGGCCTTTGCCAGCTCAGTATTTCAAAGTGTATCATCAAAGTTCCAATGTTGTTTCCACTCACCGGTCACACTATCTCCAAAAAGGAAATACTCTGTAGATCAAAATTATTGAAGTATGTCTTCTTTGACACGCACAAACCCAGACTATTGTTTATCAGACTTCAGGCCAAAATGCTGCTGAAGCCAAAACAAGGAAAACAAACCCACAGTCACGATTCCATACCCCCCGGAGTGCAGTTAGTTGAGCACATTCTCTATCTGTTAGCTACCCATGTCCCGAGCGCTGCTTCCCACATCCCGCTTCAGGAGGGCGGCGTCCAGCTCACCTGCATCACCTTCCCATCCTTCCCTCGGTAGAGCGTGTAGAGCTGGTAGGCTCGGACCTCGTGGGGAGGCGGTGGAGAGAAGCAGTGATGTTTACTTCTGCGCTTAGGCACGTTTTGCTGGGCCCGAGGTAGTGTCTGCTGATCAGCTGGGGAGATGGGGTCTGAGAGTGCCAAGACCTGCAGGAAATACATACAACGCTTGCCCCATTTATGAGCCCCCTGGTGGGAACAGGACAAACCCATCATGACAATTACACAGTCTGTTCCTGTCTGAAGACTACTACCTCTGCCCATGAGCATGGCAGGCCTGCTGCCCTCACTCACCAACACACTGGACAATGGAACTATTGCTCAACAATTATGCCTCCCCTCTGCTGTTTGAAACCTACTCATACCTTTTCCTTTGGCTTTTTCTTTTTACTCTTTTTCCCTTTGGGATCAGGTGAGGTTGACCGGGGTTCATCCTTCAGATCACTCTTCTTCTGTGGTGGCTGGTCACTGCTCGGCGTGTCATCAGCAGCTGAGATGCTACCCTGCTTGAAGCAAAGACAGGGAGTTCAGAGTGTTTGCAGAGATGGAGAAAAGGTGCCTTTTCTTCAGTTGCCCAGTTTTAAGCTGCTTTGCACAAGTGAGTGGGCAACCCTTTAGCAGCACAACACCACAGACTGCCTCAGACAGCTACTGTGGTCATGCACAAGGGATGGCTCCAAAAAGCTTTGGCCCTGATGGGATTTACAATCCCCCCTCACAGGAGACGCAGCTGGGAACGTAGGGCTGTACCTTGCTCTGTACCACTTCATCTCGTGGTACTGACTGAGCTCGCCTTTCCTCCTTCAGTCGCTCTCTCTTCTTCCTCAGGCTTCTGCCACGGTTAAAGCGTGAGACCTGAAGACAGACCACACTGTTACCCAGTGATGTCATGCTCTTTCTTACCACAGGAGCCAAGTAATAGAGTGATACCCTTTCACCTATGTCTGAAAGGCGATAAAGGAGAATGTGTTGCCAGATGAACACTGATGGGCCAAGCACCATGGGTGCCAATAGCTGTGAAAACACACCACCACTAAGGCAAGTCTATAAGGACATTCTGCAATTCCCTGGAGAGGTAAAGCACCTCCTGTGTCTTCCAGCTGGTTGCCAAGCCAAGCCTAGCCCTTCTCACTCAGGGGTAACAAGGAGGAGCAGGGCAGCAATCACACTTTGTCTCATACCAGAATAGAGAGCCCTACCATGTGCCTTCTGACCCAAAGAGCATTGCAGCATTTCACATGCAGCAGCACAGCACAAACAGGACATTTTGTCCCCATTTCAAAGCATCTTCCAGTGCAGCAAGGATGAGAGATGCCTGAAGCAGGCAGCAGAGCAACACAACCCAGGAACTTTTGGGTACAGGGCAGCTTTCTAACCCCTGGGCCACAATGGCAAACAAGTGCCTCTGGCTGCTCCATCCTCTGCCAGTCAGACCAGTGGAACCTCTGACAGCGCTTAATGCTGTGGAGGCTTAATCTGCACACCTTGCTGGGCCTGGGGGCTGAAAGGCTCCACATCAACAGACCCAAGGCTAGCAAACAGTGCCCACAGAAACACAGGCACCTTTCACAGCAGAAGAGGATGTGACCTCTCAAGGTTAACTGGACTCAGCTCCAAGTGTATGTGTGTACTGGGGAAAGATCTGTAACGTACCTGTGATGCTTTAGTGAGGAGAAGCGCAACCTCAGGGTTATTGTGCTGTCTGGCAACCTCTAGAGGGGTCTGACCTGCCTGAGAGGAAAAAGGAAATGGCATTTACTTCCAAACAGAAGCCCCTGGAAATTTGGTATTTCTCCACCCAAAGTTAGTACATGCTCTGTGCACAAGAGTGAAGTTAACTAACTGCTTTCATTTACCCCAGTTTAATTCAGCTCTAACACCCAAATTACTTTCTACCAGCGCTACAAAGAGCATTGAAGGGAGTCTGCATTAATATAAATTACCAACGAAACTCCGTGTGCTGCTTACATTGTTGACAACAGATGCATCAGCCCCTGCCTCCAGCAACAGCTTAACCACCTTCCTGTGATTGAGAGCAGCAGCTACATGGAGCGCAGTATCCCCTGCCTGCAAGTCAGAAAGAAAGAACAAGGTGTAACACACGTCCTTGGGTCTCACCCTGCAGAAATCACACCTCCCTAAAAGATGCTCAGAGCTCAAGAGACCTGCACTCATTGAGATTAAATAAGGCCTGTTCAGTAAGAAAAACAGAATTAGGAGAAAGGGGACAGGAGGGGGCAGAAACTACTTCAGGGCAAGGACCTGCTTCAGCCTGGTTTTGAGAAACGCAGCTGGGGCACTGGTGATCTGGTTTAACTGAAACAAGTGATACACAATGCAGCTGGGAGGCAGCCCAGCTCTACCGCCAGCAAATGGATACGACATCAGAGGGCAGAACCGGTTTTCCCACCACATCCTTCTCTTTTTTCCGGATTTGATTATTTGATGCACAGATGGTCAACTCTCACGTTACTCAAAACCAGCCAGGTAGGTACAAGCAGCGTGGTGGCTGGTGTTCCCTTCAGGAGATTCCTCAAGAAAAACAGGGTTTGGATGAAAGCCAGGAGAGGATCCAGGTCCTGCGTAACACACTGCCCTGCCCTTGTCCTAGTGCAGACAGGTGAAGACAGCTGTGATCAGATTCGGGCACCGCTAACACAGCCAGCAGCTGTTCAAAGGAGACGAGACACGTGGACGTAATGCCTTCCTGTCCCCTCTGCCTTGCATTCTGCCTTCACAAAATTACATCTCCTTGAGACTAGTGGATGTCTGCTGCTTGTTGCTAACCTGGGTGAGGTGTATTCATAAATAAAATCATTATATGTGCAAATATGGAACAACTTTGGGTAGTGCTGGAGAATGGAGGGAAGGGGTGTCTCTCTGGGCCAGGTTCACACCGGTTAATCGTAATATTCAGTAGCTCATTTTGCAAGTTTAAAGACTCATTTCCAAATAAAATTACACGCTAAATTTAACATACTGAATCCCTTTTTGTTTGGTGCAATAGCTCATATCTGAGAAACAAGATTAAATGTACACATCAGAAAACACCTTTATGATCTTCAACCACACATGGAAAGTTTCCCAGGAGCATGAGACGATGTGGTTAAGCACCACATAAGCTATTTATTTAGCAGATTTAATACATCTTAATGTACTAAACCCATTCCCTTCTACCACACAATTAGGCTATGCTATAGGTATAAAATCAATCACTTCTCTATAAAACAGCTATGGATGATTAATCCTAGGTTAGACTGACTATTACTTTGAATTTAAAGTATATTTTTTCTTCATTTTTTTGTTATTTCAATTCCCCCCGCTGCAAAATGCAGCAAAGAAAATTATTCAGAGGAATTTGCACTTTTGTAGTATCTGAATGTTAGTGAGTTCTGCTTCACAATGTGTCTGTCATGGCCACAGGATCATTAAATCCTAGTTACAGAGGAGAAAATGGGCCCCCATAAAACAACCGAGTCTCCTGCCCAGTCCCATTCTGCTAAGAACTGATAAGGCCCCAAGTGTGCCAACAACTAACCTCATGCCACTACTGTCCCAGACCCCCTTTCTATACCAACATATGATTGCAGAACCTCATAAATAGGCAATGCTTTAAAGAAATGATGCAAATGTGATGGCAAAATAATAAACCACTTCTATGCTATTACTTTAAGGCTGTTCTTAAAAGCATTTGGTGGTACAGTGAAACAGAGTGAAGCGGGATCACTTGGGTAGAAATCCCTCTTCCCAACAACTAGCCATATGCAAAGGGCACAAAGTCACAATGAGGTTCATGCACTGACCTGGTTCTTTTCATGGACAGAACAGAAAGCACTGAGCAGCACCCTAATGATGGGTAAGTGATTATAACGAGCAGCCACATGCAGACAGGTATCTCCTGCCTGCAAACAGAAACAAAGCTCTGAGCATGTAATCGCAATAGTAAAGCTTGCACTTGTCATGGCATTCAAGGATGAAACAACCCTATTAAACCGAAGAGAGCAGCACGTGCCACACACCTCCACTGAGCAGCAGTGCTGTCTCCTCTGCAGTACAAAACCTGCTATCCCAGTGGGGGGTGTGGGTGTGTGTGATTTAGCAAGAGCTGGGGCCAGGCAAGCTGGGGGTACAAATTCTTTAACCACTGGTGGGAAGTACTGGGATCACAAAATGCTGCTTTCCTGCACTACAAAACCTGATCTACATTTTTACATTAAATCTGTTCTTCTGAACCACAAACCAATGTGATCTGGACACTCAATGGTGCTGCACGTAATGAATAAATATGGGAGCAGGGGACAGAGCAGCATCCCCGGGAGGGGTGGCACCTGCACAGCTGGCACTGGGAGCAGAGCCCCATGGGTTTCACTTTGTGTGCCTCTGCCCACCTTGCTATCAAGCAAGGACAAAAACATCTGGCTTCCTTCTCATTATAAAACAGGAGGAAAGCTGTCTGAAACTGAATTCACCTTCTATCTATGTCATTTGACAGAATGGCACACAGTACACATGATCTGTCTCAGACTTTCACCAGTCTGGCACAAAAACCGTTTTAAGTCTTCCATCTTTCTGAAAGAAGAACCCTCCTGCAGAACTGCACAACAGTGTATGAGTCAGGCCACCAGGACCTCAAAAAGCAGCAAAGGACCAGCTGTCTCAGTTTGTGCAACAGCAAAACCCCCTATGACTCCTTCCATCCCCACTCGAGACGGACACAAGCAGTGCATTGTTCAGTCCTATGAGAACCATTCCTGCACAGGATGTATACAATGGTTTGTTAGTGGGTTTTTTTCAATCGCATTTATAGCAAAAACCACAGCTGAAAGTATTTCTGAGTATCCCTGAAAGTTACAGTAACAGCTAAAACAGAGGCACACAAAAATGAGCACGTTCTTTTCAAAACTCACGTTGTTTTTGAGGTCTGCTCGAGATCCTCCAAGTAGTAAAACACGAGTGCTCTGGGAATGGCTGTTCTGGCAAGCCAGGTGAAGAGGGGTGTTACCTGCCTTAGAGAAACACAGGAATATATAAAAGTCGTGGTTAGAAATTGGACATGAGCATTTAAAAAACCAACCTCACAGCTCTTCCCACAAGAAGATCCCCCCAGGAAGAGGATAATGTTGCTGTTATTTTCCCAAAGATATGAACTGAATGAACCTGGAGACAGAAATACCCTCTTCAACCTGTGAATTATTTATCTGGGATATAGTAAAGGCAGTCTCCAGGGGGTCTCACATGTCAGGATGCAGATTTTAGGCTATCGGGAAGCTCCAACGTTCAGAAAGCACACCAGTCTCCAGCCAGCATGAGAAGGGGAAAAAAAAGCCACCCAAACCCCAGAGAATCACACGCTGAGATTCCTGAAAGGAGCAAACATGCAGCTTTTACGGACAGAAATGAAAGAAGAGGTTGTTTGTCTATTGTCTTTCTAGCACTCTGAAGCATTTTATCAGTCTGACAAGTTTTTCTGGCAGCATTTGGCTTTTGTTGGCTTGAAATTGCTTGGGATTTTTGGCTCCTGGGAGCTAGGAAAGAAATCAGCTCAGGTGAATAGTTTTCCCATGCTTACTAGGCTGCCTGTTCACCTTGATTATGTCCTTTAACTTGTTACCCATGCTTTCAAGACACAGATCAAAGCTGCAGGGTTTGAATTACAAACAGCCAATTCTTAGATGTGCTCTTAGGTCTTCAGTTCCACATTACAGACTGTTTCTCTAAGCTGTGGCAGACATGAACATCTTCCTTCTCAGCTAAATTGCATTTAAGTGTCAATTATTTCCCTCCTGGGTTTATTGCCTCTGCAATGCCTTTATCATGTGGTGTTTGGAAGGTCAGCCATGGTGGGAAAGCAGAAAGGTCCTGTACAGTTGGTGAGGGGCAAGGAATTCCAAGCTGGGAGAAGTCATGGTTCTGGTGCCTGGGGACAGAGCTCACAGAACAGGCTCTCCTCAGCTTCCTTGAGAGGGAGAGTGGATCCAAGTTGTACCAGTCTGAAGGTCTTCACTGGTCTACTGAATCTTCATTAGAACATGCAGACTGACGGAGGATCTACAAAGAAGGCTACAACTGATCTAACAGGATGATCTACCACAGCAGAAGTTTTTATTAAGCCAACTTGACTGAAAGTAAACCTCATCTCCAGGGTGGCTGTTGGGAATACAGCTACCCAGGTGCATTCTCTATGCATTGTCCCTTCTTCAACTGCCTGCCTGAAATGCTTTTAAAACTTGCCTTTAAAATCCTAGGTGTTCTGTCAGGCCTCTGCATTTCACTTCAAGGCAGAGGCCAGACAGGCAATTGAAGATGGGAGTCATCTTCAATTGCATCGCTCTTACATACACTGTGGTCAAGGTGCTGTGCTGCAAGAACTGCACCTATGCAAGTGTTCCCAGGACGTATCGACCAGGAGTTACAGAATATACAGTCTCAAATCCCTCCCACCTTCTGCTGCTTAGCAGCATTTGGCAAGTCTAGCAGCCTGTATCTGTCCCAGCCAGCCAAAAATGGCATGATGCTCAGGTTTATGTCAAGAGCCTGTGTATAGGATGATTCTGCCTACGGCACTCAGCCGTGGTGTATGATAGTTTCTGTGTAGTCATCAGTAACGTAAGAATTTGAGAGACCAGAGAAAACATTCTGGGATTAAAGCTCTTCATCTGCCTTGAAATCAAAAGGGGCAGAAGCACGAGCATGTGTGCAAGCATGCCCAATTCCTGCATTTTTCAGCAGCTCCTGAGAAAAGATACTGTATATTAACACCCAAACAGTGAAATACAAAGGGAGAGGATGTCTTACCCTGTGGGTGAGGCATGAAAAACCAGCACAGGACCTGGTCATGCAGTGTTAGTCTGCCAGTCATACTTCAAACATCAACCCTGCTGAGCTATTCTGTGCACGTGCTTTCCAAGATATGTTGTCTCCAGTTGACATAGGCTGTACTACAAGCTAAGTCTTCTGCTGCCTGGAGGCACCCAAGCATGCCTAATAACCAGACTTGCATCTTAAACCCGCACTTTGCAGAGACATGTACATATAAACATAGACAAGGGTATCGAGATGGGAGTATAGTGGTTTACAAGACTATAAGGTCAAGCATGGGAAGTTCCTGAAGTGCCTTCGATACAAATCTAGGTGAACATTACCACAAAAACAATTCCACAAAGAAAAATTGAAGTTGGAACAATATAAAAGAAGGAATACATATAGAACAGTATCAAAGGTCGTGTAATTATGGACCACAGAGTGACCGTGACTGTACATATACATGTGCACATACAAAAACACTATGCCCAGGCAACATGCCTTTTTACTCAGAATCTTAGACTTTGACCAGCTGTCTCCTTTCTTCACTAGGCCCTCTCAGCTGTTGTTTCAGGGACACATTTACCAAGACATGCTCAGAGTTCCCATACAGCCAGGCCAAAGCCCTCTCACCTGCAACGAGGGACATGGTGCCAACCATGCAATCTGACTGGCCTGCCGGCACAGTCATCCAAACGCCAGCTCAGCTGACACCACAGGCTGCTACTGCCATTTCCATTAATTTCTGAATTACTGAACTGAAGTCTCCACAGTTCTTACAATTAGAGTGGAACTAAAGCCCCTTGGCTCTGTCCTTCTTTCCTCTAAATCAAGGTATCATGAATACTAAAAGGAACATAATCCAGGTTCAGTACAGGATTTTGGTAAGAGTCTACACTATTATATTAGAAAGAACTTTCTAACAAAAGATACACTATTTTTTCCCCTATGTGGCTTGCATTCCTTTGGCTGTTTGATTTCCAAAAAAAATACTGGCTTTTGAAAGCCATTTTCCTATTAGGAAAACTCATTTTCATTTTAAATCACCTCAAGCACAATGACTACGTTTGGTATAAATTAGAGCACCATGGAGACTTCCACAGGACTTGCAGTATTCCTCAGCTGTAATTAACGTATCGTTCAATGTGCTATTGAGTTCCCTCTGCATCAGCTGTCAAAATATGAACTCCCCAATGCCTGTGGAGGAACCATCCAGGCGTAATAAATGCAAAAAAAGAACAAAAAGAATCCCACTCAGTAGGTCCCCACCTACTGAGAAATGCCATGGCCACACATTGCCAGGGCTGAGCATCAGCCACCGTACACTAGAACTGAAAGCTCCTCCTGCATGGGTCTCACCTTGTTCTTGGCAAGAACGTTGGCTCCTGCTTTAACGAGCACTTTGGCAGACTGACTGAATCCATGCCAACAAGCTTCGTGAAGAGCAGTGTTCCCATCCTGCAGAGCACACACACAAGCAGAAGATTAGCGTCCTGTGTCCACCACACGCAGAGTAACGTACATTTAGAGCGCAGCAGCTGCACACCCCACTGCTCTCTTTACAAATAAAACCATTTTCCTTTTGTACCAGTTTATTTTCTATTTCATTTTTACAAGAGGGTAAAAATATTATTTCTTTCATTTGGATCTTGGAATTAGTTATATTTACTCCACAACTAAATTTACAGCCTGGGATTGTTGGTCTCTAGGATAGTCAAGGGAAACTGTGCAGTGTTTAAGTAGGGCACAGTAGGGTTGTACATTAATTTCTCCCTTAAGGAGCTGAGAAAAGACTCTTAAACTAAAAACTACCATAGAATCATAGAACAGTTTGGGTTGGAAGGGACCTTAAAGCTCATCCAGTTCCAATTCCCTGCCATGGGCAGGGATACCTTCCACTAGACCAGGTTGCTCAAAACCCCATCAGCCTGTTATAAAAAAAAATAACTGAATCAGTAATTCATACTGAAAAGATGGAACAGTGTTTTTCCAGTGTAACTGTTCCAATTACTTTCAAAGCATCAGATACTTACTCAGGAGTATAAACCTTAACTCTCTTTCTGAGACCTTAGTCTTACTGGCTGGCAAAGCTGCCATCCTACAGGGCTTTGCTTTCAGCCGTTACCTTGTCTTGTCTGTCCAAAGCACACCCCTCTTGAATCAGAGTTGCTATAACATCGGTGTTCCCTACAACAGCAGCCCGGTGCAATGCTGTCTGATCACCCTGCAAAAGAAACAAGCTTGTGATCAGTACCATTCCCACCTCATTCTGACTCAATGTAAACCCATACAACACACACAGGGGCTGCCTCTTCAACACAGGTAGTGTTTCAACTCAAGCTACCTTTGAAAACAGTCCTTGTAAACAACTGTCATTAAAGTTTCTAAGATTAATGAAGTTATTGAAAGTATTAGAGAACTACAAACCAACTGTTTAGAGAAGTTTGCAAGTTATCACAATCCCATATATGGGTTTGAAGGGCACTAAAACCACGGCAGTACTAGAAGGCACTGAATCTAACACATTTGGCACAACATGTCCAATAATCAACAGTATCTGTAGGGAACTAAAGAGAATTGCAGGCTGCCGTAATTCATCATAATGATTCTCCAGTACTTTCACTAACTGGATGAGGCTCTCCTGTTTTGGCTCTGATTGCTCCATTAGCCCTGCTTAGGATAAGGAGCATGAGATGAGAGTGCTTGCTTTAGCACCTCTGATGAATTTACTAATTAGGGCCAAGAGTTGAGGCAATTTTATGATGAAGACCACAACTACAAGACCATCAGCTTCAAGCAACTGAGCATCTGGAGGTCCAAACGACTTTCATTTCTCAGTGACTGGCCATATAACAGCAACAAGCAAGCTTCTTACACTGGTTTATTTCCTTTATGGCCAAGCTCCCAAAAGAAATGATGCTGATGCGGTCATCTTGTTTGACTGCCCACCTATTGTCCCCTAACAACTGCTGAATTCATCTGCTGAGCTATAGAGCCCAAGATTAATTTTCTACAAGACTTCCAGAACCTGCAGACTGGAGAGACACTAACTACTGGCCCTACCTATATGGGGTTATCATATATTTTTATGTGCATGTTGGTGAGACCACGATAAAAGAGAGGGAATAGAGGATTTATGCAGCAGCATGTAAGACACCGACCGATGGAAAAATGAGCTGTGGTAGCTCCATTGCTGCCACAACAACCGGCCTTGGCTTTCCTTTGAAGATACTTTGAACCTGCAATGTTGAAGCACAGCCTGAGTCCAGGCACAAAGACTTAGCTTCAAAGCTGCACACAGCCTTTTTGGGGGATGAATAAACAGAGTATGAATTCAATCCTCTTCTGCTGATCTAGATAATGGTCACCAAAAACCCACAGAGGACAGTGACATGCAGTGTATCGCAGGAAGAAAGGCTTGCAGGAAGCTAGCCTTAAATAGGTCAAAAGTTCTCTGCTACAAATCTTTATCAGATGACACCACATTATATTGAATACTAAAACTAGAGAAATTTCTGTATTTTCTGTCCTACAGCCTGCACATCTTAACTGGATAATTTGAATAATTTGTTCTCAAAGGCAATTAACAGCTGACTTTAAAATTGCTCTTGGTGGGCTTCTTTTGTGCTAATGACAGCAAAATAGTTATTAATCCATAAAGGAAAATCAGCATTGCCAACCACAACCTCTCAGTAACCCCTCAAATGCCAACCCCCTCCCCCCCAGTAAACCATTCAATTGGCTTATAATCGTGGAGTTGATTTTAAAAAATTGTGTTGAAGGATTTTTGTTTAAATTTGCTATGTCTGTGCTGTCTCTAGAGGTCACAGACTCTTATTTTTGTTCTTGCCCCTGCCCACCCCCATTAAGACTGGGAATGTGTTTTAAGAGATTTCAAACACAGACAGTAATGGTCACAGGAACTGGGACTTTCAGACAAACACAAAGTACTGGAAAATTGACAACACTGCAAGTTCTCTGAACCTCTGCATCTGTTCCACATTTAAAGCTAACCAACACGTCATGGAAAATGTCCAAATTATACCATCTCACAAGTGCAAGTGCCAGTTCCCACTAACTATTCCTACACAGAAATCTGGTTGCTAACAAGCTGGGGAAGTACTTATAACCTTTTTTTGCTAATACATGGTACTGATGACAGTAGCTACTGTAGCAATGGGTAATGTGGACAGTGCAAAAGGTCATTTTTGCTGACTACCACGAAGTGGAAAGTAATCCATCAACCTATCCCTGCCAACTGGTATTGCTGCACCAGCAAAACTCCAGAAAATATTATAATAAAGACCAAAACAAGATGACATCTGCCACTGTGATGGATGGAGCTTGAACAGCGAATGGTTGGTTCCTACTTCTTTAGAGTCAGGAAAATTGATTGTGGAGAAGACCAAACTGGAGGCAGGAATAGACTGTATTGGATTTAGTTTATAATTAAGGGTCTTCTTGCTGGGCTAGTTTAAAGGCTAACAAGAAGAACCTCTTCACAGTAATTGCAGTGCAGTCAAAGGCCATTCAGCTTTTTGGGGCTTGTCAATACAACAGCTACTTCTAATGGCACCTCAGTTAAACTAAGAACAAGCACATATTTGGAAAGCAGGAAGCACACCTCACTGCTCCTTTGCGGAGCCTTGCCCATGTGCTGGGGGACCATTCACTGCGACTGCAGAGCAGCACAGGGACAGCTTCAGCCATGCCCAGGCTTCGCCTCATACTATATTCTGGTCCCAAGAATGGAAGCTCAGGCAGGTGAAGGGAAACAAGTCCCACAGATGGCAGGTGAAGGGAAACAAGTCCCACAGATGGCAGGCTCAGGGGCTTCCTGCCCAAGGTGTGAGCATTGGTGCTGACATCCTCTTTATGCAAGTACAGTGAAAGCCAAGCATCTAAGAATAAGATCCAACCAGCACCCTGACCAGCTAAATAAATACCTCATCCAAGTAACAAGGAGTGCCAAAAGGTATCTCAAACCCTGCCTCACCTGCTGCAAGGCTCCTCCCTGTGAAGACATGGCAGTAATCAATGTCCTGGAGAAGGTCCCTATCACCCCCAGGCCCTTCAGCCAGCAGGGCAGGAACTGGTGAACCATTCCCTTGGACCTCATCACACACATGAACCTTAAACTGCTTAAGGTGCCGTGGAAGCAGAGCCACCAGACCGTGATGGCCTCTGTGTGCGAGTCACTGAGCACCCAACCACAGACAGCATAGCCCACCTATAAATAACCCTGCCAGCTCCATTGTGTTTCTAACCTGCCTTGCCTCCCCTGCAGCAGAGGAGCAAACCCCAGTCTTGTCTCTTATGGAGTCAGAAAAACCGATGACAGTTTTCACAGTGTGAATTTTCAGACAGTGCAATCACTGACTCTTTTTATTAATTGCTAAAATAACTGTCTCTGAAAGCACTCATCGGAGTTCTACCTTTAGCAAGGCATTAGGGGGCTGTTGCAGAGGCTCAGAGTGTAATTACACTGGTAACTGTGTATTAACTGCCCAGACTATTATGTTGGGCACAATTTATGATGCTATTTGTAGGTTATTTATTCCTTAGGAACAGAGAGCAGCTCAGTAGCAATAGAGAGAGATAACACCTCTGCTGTGTCACACAAATGTGACCTTGGTAGAAACAACAGTCTGACTAAATGCAGATGTGGGCCTGAAGCCAAGAAGACACTTAGGTGCTTAAGTGAAGCTTGGTAGAAATAAGGCACTTAAGTCTACACTGGTGTATCCTGAATCTCCTTCCTAGCTCTGAAAGCAACTCAAACTCCAGCATTTTCCCTTCAACGCCACAGACGTCTTGGCTTGCACAAGTCACTGCACCCAGAGGTTATGGTACTCACCCAGCTTGACTTGTCATGAAAACACTGCTGTGTCAAGAGCTCCACTTTTAAGAAACATGTTGGTATTCACTGGGCTAGAGAGAGGGAGATGCTGGAAGACTGGGATAGGAATCTGCATTCCCTGCTGCATAGGATGTGAAACTCCACATCCTGACAGCTCTACCTATAACGGGTCTATTGCACAGCAAGGCCCAGCACCACCAAGTACGTTTCCAAAGTGTGAAACCATGCTTTGTACAGAGAGCTTAAACACCTGCTTTCAAGGGAGGGTCACAAGCTGGGGCTCCTGATGAAAGGCAGATACATGGATCCTGACCTTCTCCATGGATTATGGCGCTACTCTTTACTGGAGCAGTTCTGTGTTGGTTAGGCTGGGGGCACTTGCTCAGTGTCCTGGTGTTTGCAATTACCTCCTCGAGTCTCCTCATTTACTGACTGAATTAAAGCAGTGGATACAACCACTGCGACCAGGCTCCTGGGAACTGGGTAGGCATCTATTTTACATCTGAAGCTCACCCCAAGGGAAGGGAAATAACACAACTTACAAAGGGGTTTCAGGGAGCTGTTACAGTTTCTGCCAGCAATCCTGGGTATTGTAGTCTCTATTATAGGCTCTACTGCCCAAATCTAATGAGACTTGGTTCACACCAGTTTGTAATACATATTACTACTTCTTCCCTCTGATTTAAAAAAAAAACAATCACCAAAGCCATAACCACTATATTCTGTTATCCTACACACTCCTATTCTGCAGAACATCCATCAGTTGTACAATCTCCTTTAAAGCCCCTCTCCAGGGTCACACTTTGTCTCCTCATTGTCTTTCCATGTTTGCAGAAATCTCAGAAAAACCTGTCTTGCTACAGAACTGCACCAAAATAACCAGCCAGAACTCATGCCTTCAACCCCCAGTACAAAGTGCTCGATGGCACTTGCAAAGTCTTAGGGGGAGGGCAAGAAGGGGGGGGAGTGAGTGAAAAAGCTGTCTGGCTGGGTTTAAACTACAACAGCTATGAAATCAAACCACTAAATTCATGTTGGAAAGTTCAAAATACAGCCAAGCATTAGATCCTCTCAGGAGCATCCAAGCATACATGGGCGTTTTGAAGCAGCTGACACAAAGGCGATTGAATCATGTGCTCTAGTGTTCCCCAGTGTCACTGTGCTGCTCTCCTCCTCCTCTGCTGAAGAAAAGCAGTCATCATGACACACAGTAAGAACTACTTCACTCTGAATGATAAATGATGATGCATGACCAGCAGAAGTGATCGAGGCATGAAAAAAAACAATCATGAAACAGATTACAGCTCGAATGGGCTGAAAGGGGAGTATAGGAATAAGCCACTCTGCATATTTATATTCAGCTAGAAATCATTATGAACCATGGGCTCCTCTTCCATGTGAAATTCATTTTCTGCTTCTTAAACTGGAGCTTCCAGAAGGGAAGTTTCAGGGCCTCAGGCCTGTATTTTAAATCAACTTGTTTTCCCAGAGAGCACATAGAAGGCAGGAGACCTGCTGTAGAGCACCAAGCGCAAAGCCTGCCATGCAGTCATGCACCGCAGAAGAGCTCGGTCATGCCAGACAATCGGGCCAAGGTTTTGCAGCATGCAGCCATGCGAGACATCAAGCTCAAGGCAGGGTTGATGCACAAGGTTTCTAACCTCCTTCTCTCTTTCTGATCTTCTAGGTTCTTTCCTAGCCTTTCTCTTCTGGTTTTTCTTATCTTTTTCATCCTTGATTTCTTTCACCGGCACAACTTTCTCCTTGACTATTTCTGAGGTGTGTGCTGTGTGGATGCTCATTGACCATTCAGAGATAGCATTGGGATCCCAGTAAGACTTTTCAGTATTGGCAGGGAGAAGGAAGGAGTTAGCTCCCGGGGTGGCGTACTCTACAGAGCTGGACTCCACCGGCTGAAATTCATAATAATCCCACTCCAGGCCACTGGAGGTCATTCTTCAACTAATTCTTACGGCTCTTACCGTGGGTTAAAGAATTTATCTGTAGAACATGAAGTGAGTGTTTTAATCTCTCCACAACAGGTAGCAACTTCCAACAAGTTTCTGCTTATCATGTGACAGATTAAAAGTTAGTCCTGCATTCATTCATTAGCTAAAGAGAGTCAACTCCAAAACAAAATGTGCTTACGTTTCTTTTGTTACTTAGAAAAATAAAAGCTAAATCAGCATTTTAGAAACTGGAGGTGTTATCACAACAATGCCACAGACAAAAATCAACTAAGTAATGTACTCTTCAATTAAATATGATACTCCCCACTCTTATGAGTGATTTAATCTTTGAACCTAAATCTGTATTCCTGAAAAACAGCAATTAAACATATAGATGTTAATCAACATTGAAACTAAGATGCCCTCACTGCCAAATAAGCACACAGTAAAGGGGACCAAAGGCATCATCAACAGATGTCAACTAAAGTAGAATGCAACTATATTCTGTGGGGCATAAATGAAGAGTAAAAATTAATTTTACAAGTTGAGACAAAAAATATAGAACCTTTTTGAAGACCTATGTAAAAGGAAAGCAGAAATATTTTAGTTAATACCTTTCACAAGCAAAAATCTTCACTTGAAGTTTTAGCCTTCCCCCTCTTCTAAGACAAATCCACATGCACTGAGACTCTGCAACTCCTGAGGCTCTCCTCAACCCCAACCAAATTACTAGCACAAAATACAGAGCTAAAACCTAAATACATTTTAAAGAAACAGCATCTGTGAATCAAGCATGCATCTATTCTGTTCAGATTAGTCACCACATTTAGAAGCGGTATGCAGTTGCTATGAAGAAAGCCCCTGCAAAGCTTGCAAGGCAAGTGAAATAGGGATTCTACAAGCTATGTACTTTTCCAGTGCAAGACTCTGCTAAACCAAAACAATACTATACACTGATCTACTGTTTCTCCATTATGGCTATCACATTTACATACAAACAGCCTAGATTTTATTACTAGAGGATTACAAAAAAACCAGACTTACTCAAAACACAGTTTTCACAGAAATCCAATTTGACCAAATTGGTGGAAGCTCTTCCATTCTTAGAGCAGCAGCTTGCTTTTCTCCGACAGTACTTGTAAACTACCTACAATTTCTTTTAAATACCTGATGAATCATTTTTGCAGCGAGAAGTCAAAAAACTTACTCAGGATACATCTGTATAAACTGATACTCACATTACACTTGCAAATCTGCTCCATTTCACAGATGAGCATAGGGAAAGAATAAAGAGCACAGGAAGCAAAGTTTCTTCCTAGAAAAACAAGATTCCCAGTAGCAAGCTGGCTGCACCCATACCCCAGTCCTAAGCTTGTCAGAAAGACTGCTCACATCTCACAGGGAAGCAGCTACTCAGGCAGAGAAGGAAACCAGTCTTCCAATTTCTACAGACATTTAAGACTCTCTAGATGCAAATAAATGCCTAAGGGGATTTTCAAAAGGCACCTAGACATTTCCAGTGTATTTTCAGTAGCCATGAAAGTGCCTCTACAAACCACCTTTGGACCTCTAGGTCCTTTGAGGAATCTTCACCTTACTTACTACAGGGGGAACAAAAGCAACCCTTCCTCAAACTTGTTCCAATGTACTATCAGAAGTTAGCAATGAGTCTGAAGAAGTTGTGGTTTCATGGTTATTCAACTGATGTTGTGCATTTTAGCCTACGCCTTTGTTCATCACAGTGAGGTAACTAAAACCATGTTACTAGTCACTCCAATGTGCCTTTAAGCCTGGTCCAAGATCAAAACTATTCTTACCGAAAACTGAGAAATTCCAATAACTTACATATTTTACCAAATGAAGACAAACTACAAATAATACAAAAATACAAACTACAAACTACAAATTCCAATAACTTACATATTTTACCAAATGAAGACAAATTTGCTAAATTCAAAGCTGTTTTCATTGTGCTGCTGCTTCACCTCAACAGCTTCACAGATCTGACCATCCCCACATCAAGTACAGCTGCCAACAGGATGATTTCCCTGTGACACTGCACAGTGCTTCAGGCAACTGCTCAATACTCTATTTGCTGCAGTATGTGTCTACACAAAAGCATCTTCCACTCAAGCAAACATCACAACAGATCATGTCTCCTGCCTGATGTCCTCCAGTGGGTTCCCAGAGTACAGTGAGCTCTTATTTCACTCCTACACCAAGTACCAGATAATGACTTTCACTGCTACTTACACCTGCCTGGCGCAACCAGAGCTCTCATAAAGCTCAGCAGCTTGAGCAAGAGGACCAAGCTATTCACTGAAAACCACGCCATTTTACATTGTCTCCCATGCAGCTTTACATCTCCATATCAGAAAAAAGAGATTTTGTTTTCATTTCATCCTACTTCAAAGAAGTGACAGTCTACTGTTAACTTGCAAAATACCTTTTCCCCTCCACCCAAACAAGAAGGTTGTGTCTACTTACATCATCCTGAATATCCAGGTCACAACCTGCCTTCAACAAAACCCGGACAACGTGGAGATGACCCTTGTGGGCAGCAAGATGCAGCGGGGTCCGGCCATGCTACAAATGTGACAAAAATAGTAATAATGTAAGAACAATTTTTATGCATGGTAGTTAAACAGAATTTTTATCTGCTTTTCCTCGTTCATACCTTGCTCTCTGACACCTGCAATAGCAGCAACTGACATACATCAGTGTACCAAAGGCTTCCCCTTAGTTTTGTGTATGCCAAAAACTCCTCTCCCTTTTCCAACATTTCAGTTTAGCCCAGTGATAACCAACAAAAGGGATATTACACTGACATAAGGATACTCCTTTACAGTTTTGGATTTGGCTTTGTTATCCATGCCTGAAGAGAATTCATGGCCCATTGCTTCTTTTTCTTGAAGTTCAGAACTGTCAACCACTTTCAGCTTCACTCAGTAGGACCAAGTTGCAGTAGCAGTGGGCTAATTAATATACTGCAATGGGTACCATCTTTGCAATAGAAATAAGAAGTGATGAACTGTTGTGTATGATGGATGCTCTCCTTAGAAGGAATGGAAGACCTGTGGTCACTTCCTGTTACTTCATGTGTACGACAACCAACATCCTTTCGCCAAAGATCTATCAGGTTGTTTTAGACAAATCTTATTTTTCAACATTGCCAAAGTCTAATCCATGAAAGTAAGAGTATAAAACAGTCATGCGAAATTCAATCTATAGTGTAATTAAGGACCTTTCCCTTATAAACAAAAGGACAGAAAAGCTTTAATTAGTGAGATGGATACATGTTGTATGGCTTTAGGAGGAAAAACAAAGATTGAAATCTGACAGTAAAATCAATTTAAAAAAAAAAGAAGAAAACAACAACAAACCAACATCCTCCCAACAAATGGGTTAAAAAATATCTAAGTGAAATGACAAGAGGAAAACAATAGTTACTCATAACTGAGCACCACTTGATCATCCTTTGACAGATTTTAAAATGAAGTATTGCAGGAAGAGGGGAATATGCTGCTTCTCCTAAAAGAGGCACGAGAGTTGAGACTTAGAGAGGGAAGAGATTGTAAGAGGCAGTATGGACAACAGAGAAGAGCTACAACAAGCCATTCCCTAAACATGTAAGCCATACAATCTGAAAAACTCACAAGGGAGGATCGAGAATTAAGTCCTGCTCTAGGAAATGTGTGTGTGTATGTATCTATATATATAAAATCTAAAACATCAACATGAAAAGCAAATAAAACACTTAAGAATTGCTAAACAGCAACACTCTAAAACTGTTAACTGGAAATTTTGTTTCATTACAATTGAGAAAACAGGATTTCAGCCCCTGCTGAAAGCAGAGCATCTTCAGAAAGAATCCCATTTTTTCCACTAGGAATTTTATGAGATAAGGAGGAGTTACATATAATACAGGTGAAGAATAACGTATCTATTTCTTCATTACTGTTGCTGTTTTCTGTTTTTCTACCCCACGATTTACCCTGCTAAGGAAGGTAATCAGCCCTAATATATCACCTACAGAAGGAGAAAACACCGAGAGAGCTCACTGACTACTAGTGGCCTCAAGTAAGTAGGAGGCAGCCATCAGCTCTCTGAAGTTTTAAGCAGCTTCTCCAGCAGGAAAGCCTCTTCAGGTAAATAAAAAACCAAACGCAAGGCAGGGCTGTTTTCACACAGCAAATCCCAAACCTGCATAACTGGAAAAAGCCACAGGAATTCAGCCTCTTCAGAGCAAAAAGGAAAACCAGTGCCGAAATCCACAGAAAGGCTGGGGACAGAATGTCCATGTCATCACTGAGTAGTTGTGCAATGATTTGAAAACATTAAACACTGATTAATTCTCCTACACTAGCATTGATTAATTGTGCTGCATTATTGATCTGAGGAGCCAGATCTAAGGGAGAAGCACTCTTGACACACGGGCCTCAAAACCCCAGTGTTGGCTCCTGTTAGGAGCAGCAGCTCATTCCCACACTGGAAACTTCCACTCCTGCCCTACTGAAGGCATGGGAAGGGCTCACTTCTGGCTATCACCACTGCTCCTGGGTGCCATCCAGCCTGCTGCCTCGGGGTTTCTTGCCTGACCTGCTCTCAGGTCCCTAAATGTCTGCTCCTCCGGTGAAGGGCACTAAGCTGCATCGAGCACGCCTCCTCCATAAGCCTGGAGAAGGGCTAGGGCTATGTCACTGTTCTGGGTAACTCAATAGCAAGAGGTATAAAAGTCTCCAGGTTAACATGGGGGTAAAAGGGAAAAAAGAGAAAAGAGAGGAAAAAAAGGCAAGTCCGATTAACAAATCATTCCGAGCTATGAACAATATGTTTGGATTATGAGTATGTGCTCCAGCACGTTCATGGTTATGGGTTCTGACTTTCTACATTACTTAATAGCAATAAGTAAATCACCTAATCCAGGCCTCTCACTTTCTGGCAGGTTACTAATATATCATGAAAACAAATAATTGCCATCTGTGCACAGAGGAGAAAAAAATCCCAAAGAAACCGAACTTGAAGCCAGCTCTTGTTCTTTAAAAGAAAAAGAGTGTCAACTACATTAATATATCCCAGCAGGGAAACTTTCTGATAAGATAATCATCTCTAAACACTGACATGCAGCCAAAGGTACTGTGCTAAAAGTAAACTATGAAAGCAGAGTATATCTCAATATGAGGGACAGGTTTTCCTCACCCAACACACCTTCCTAGGCAATCACCACACAGAGTCATCGCCTAGGAAGCACAAGAAAAGAAGACCTGGATCACACAACATTCACATGTCTGTTCAGTGCCTTAAGGCACATTAAAATAAAGTCACCCCAGGGAACAGGCTTACCTGAAGGATGTCCCAGGGAGCACCAGGGTCTTCTGTCACTAGGACCAACCCATCCCTCATCCTCAACAGGCAGCCTCCCCATGCTCATGGCCAGCCACAGGAAATGGGTGACAGAGGAGAAGAAAGCACCTACTGGAGAGCTGCAAGCAAAGGCTAGCTACTTGGCTGTTCCTGTCGCTCAGCAAACAGAGATTCACTTTAACTGTGCATGCCCCCTATCATCATCCTCACGTGTTCAGTAACTTCAGGCAAGTTCCCAAAACCCAGGGTTTTGTTAAAAAAAGAATAGTTGAAAAAAAAAAAAAAACAAAGCCAGTGTTACTGAAATAGAAAATAAAGGATTTTTTTTAATTATTCCAGAGAGTTTATTTGGAGATTCTCTATCCAAAAAGAGAGACACCCAACCTATTGAAGACACAGACCTTCAGAGACCAGAGCTATTGCATACCTGAAGTCCTTGAGCTCTTCCCACTATAAAGGGACTATAAATGAAAACTATGACTGTAATGAGGATGGGAGTGGGAAGGAGGATCAATTCCAGCACATTACACTGATTAGAGGCTTGGGCTTTTGGAAAAGCACCGATCATCTCAAGATTAATCATAAACCTGCAAGAACTGACACTGCCAGATTTTCTTTTTCTTCCCAGTAACATCAAAATGAGAGCAGAGATGGGCACTACGGCTGGACAGTGTTCCAGTACAGGCAATGCAAACACTGGAAAACACTCTCACCCGCCTCCCCACGCAAACTTACACATATGCACACAGATATTTAAGTACATATCCATGTATGCACTAATCCAAAGTAAACTGTGAGGGAGAGACAAGGTGACCTGGATGCCCCTCATGCTATGATGAGAAACCTGGAGCACAGCAAGCTTTGGAGATAAATGGATCCAGGCTACAGCAGGAAGCCCTAGCAGCAACAGCCAGAGCTGCTTGAGCCTTCATGTCTGTAAGTCAAACCAACAGACCACAAAGTTTTACTCTCACAATAATGCATCCTACCCAAAATACTTAGAGGCAAGAGAGATAATGGCAGACACACAAATTTCGCTGCCCAGGTCTCTTCTTTAAAGACATTTCACACTCACCACTGGAGCATCAAAGAGTGGATTTGTCTGAAAACACAAGTGGGTCCCAGCAGGAAAAAAAACATACAGAATCATAGAATGGTTTGGGTTGGAAGGGACCTTAAAGCTCATCCAGTTCCAATCCTCTGCCATGGGCACGGACACCTTCCCCTACACTAGGTTACTCAAAGCTCCATCCAACCTGGCCTTGAACACTGCCAGGGGTGGGGCAGCCACAGCTTCTCTGGGCAGCCTGTGCCAGTGCCTCACCACCCTCATAGTGAAGACTTTTTTCCCTAATATCTAATCTGAATCTCCCCCTCTCAGTTTAAAACCATTCCCACTTGTTCTGTCCCTACATGCCTTGTAAAAACTCCTTCTACAACTTTCTTGTATGCCCCCTTTAGGTACCGGATGCTTCTCTAAGGTCTCCCTGAACAAGAATATACAAATGTCTCCTGGATGGTTACTGCAAGAAGACCCTAAACCTAACGACTGCTTAATATGCAGATTACTGACTTAAAAAAGCTTGTGAGCATTTCCAAATATCAACTGTAACAGCTTGGGGTTTAATACAGAAATACAAATGAGAGACTGCTGCAACCTGGGATTAAAGAACCAATAAAGCAGTCATTCATATAAAAAATATGCAATTTAGACTTCTATTCAAATGTATAAAAATGCTTCAGCGGGCAACAAATCATACAAATGCTCCTGTGTCACAGGCTTATTGACAAAATAAACGGGACTACGTTGCACTAAAGCTGCAACTTCAACACCCCTGACATGCTGCTATAGCTATGGGGAGTATGAAGATGCAGCCAAGCACAGGAAACAGCCACATTGAACTTCATCAGTAAAATGGAAGGGTAGGGCTTATGTTTGTATTTAATCTGTAGTCTAACTTCCAGGCATTGACAGGCAGCTGTTGATACATACCATTTAAAAGCAGAATTTTCTTCGAGCAGCTGCCAATGTATGCACTCTGCAACCAAGTCAGTGCAGGGGGGCCTCAGCACCACGAGCCACATGATCCTTTGTTGTGTTTATTTGTAGATACCTTTACGCAAGTACATTCAGTTTTCTATCTCACCCTGCTCTTGTGCTGCACAAGGACTATTACTTATTCATCCATTCTGCACATACACAAAAACATGCCTATCCACTTTTTATTAGAATGCTTGAAAACAAAAACCAAGTCTTGTCACACTGATGCCTTAAGACTGTTGTCCGTGAATAACCTGCTCACTCAGGTCAGCGGAAAGTTTCTCATTCACCTCAGGAGACACTCAGTAAGTCCCTAAATGTTTGCCGCCCCCCTTTCAGTTCTTTTTATTGTTTAAAACAGACACAAGTAGTTTTTTAAACTGAAGGAGCACAAAAATGTGAAAGCATCGAAATATATATTGTGTTTGTTTGTTTGTGTCTTAAAAAGGGGGAAAACAGCAATTGTTTTAAAGAACTCAACATGCTCTGAAGTTGAAATTCTGACGGCAAGAGTACAAGTAGCTCAGCATTACAAAAGCATTGCCATATAGTAGGCTTGTACCTAATTCAAACGTTAAACAGAAGCACTACCTTTCGCATTTCTATGGGTTTTTTCCAAATAATCATCCCTTCTCCAGAGACTTCAATTTTATGGCTATGATCTTAATGCTGTGCTCTGCAGAAAAGCCATATTCTGCTTGCTTCCCTTTGACAAAATACTCATAAACCCCATGGTGCTGTACAAGTTACATTTAAAGTGCCTGTACTACCTTTGTGTCTTTCTCTGGCAATATTTTTCACATTTAATAGAGAAGCGGGATACTCTGCTGTACATGCTTACTAATACACACCTTCTTCTGCCCTTATTAATTCTTGCTATTGAACATTCCACCCTGTGCTGCAACACTCCAGTGAAACCCAACACCCAGGAACACTTCTATCTTGATGAGCTGTAGTGCAGAGATGGAGACCTGGAAATTTTGTCTCTGAGCACTGCGCAAACTGACATTGATGGCTGCCATTACTGCAAAGTGCCTTATTTCATCCAGTTGATGCCTGGAAGGTCAAATCCCACTTCTCTCCAGGCACCAAGCACCATTCTGGGGGCAAGCTCAAGAGCAGAGCTGATCTGATCTGTCACTACCACTGCTCCTGCGCCACTCCTGGGGGTCTACAGCCCTCTCCCTAACCTATCCCAACTCACAAAATCAAACAAAGAATAACTTCGGAAAACAACATCCTGGGAAGACAACAAGGCAGAGCAGCTCAGCAAAAGGCCCCGTGCTTTCATGTCAAAGATGCAGCTGTCAAAAACTTTGCTGAAAAAAAGCTCTACTACATAAGGACTAAAAGAAGAGACCAGTTTTCTTGCTTGGAAGATTAAATTACACCAAGCTCAGTTCTTAATTTTCTAGCTTTTGCAGCATATTCACCAAATTATAAAGGCACCCGCTTGCAGGGTCAGGCAATTTGTACCATCAATAGTCTGGGGCATTTTTTCGCTTATCGTAAAGAAATGCTGTAAGTTTCACACTTGTGAAGAATATCAGATAAAAAGGCACAAAAATGGAAATTACCCATTAGCACTTTGAGCCAGGAAGCCTCTGCTGAGCGCTAGGGCAATCTCTTCCTTGGCCACAATCCCGCATGGTTGGTGACAGAGATCCCAGCAGCAGCACAAATGCTTGATGCACGTACAACGCAGTGCCAGCAGCCCTCTCTGATGTCAGACTGTCAGCAGCAATGTGACCTAGTGGCCATCAGCTCTTCTCTACATATTTTTAAAGGCCCCAAATCTGGAATGAACCCAGTATCTCTTACTGGAATCAGGGAGAAGCACACTTCCATATCAATTTCACCTGCAGAGTTGCTAGTGATGCTGCCCAAACAAAACAAGTGCATCCCCAAGGAAACACTGAAGTGAGCACCTGGATACACAGATTCTCCACTGAACTTTATTTCTTTCATATTCTTTCTTCTTCTTAAAGGAATCATCTACTTAGAGGTGACAAGAATTAAATACCATTTTGCAGCTGAACTGCTGTTTACTGAAGCAGCAGTTAACCATATCATATGACCTTCCATACATAAAATAAAAATAGAACTGGATGAACTTGTCAGCTATCCAGTATTTAACAGTACTTTGTTACAGAAAATATCCTTCACTTTCCTTCAGCTGTGCTGAACCCTGTTTGAATAAAGGACTCTCTAGCATTTAATTCTAGATGCTGGTCACTTCAAGCTGTGGCTCTGCATGGTGTTTTTCACAAGAACTGGTTTGAGCTTCCAGATGTGTATCAGAAAAACATTTAAAGCATAAAGTGATGTGGGAACTTCTTTCTCCTTTCAAAGAGCTTTGTCTCTGCATGTCTTCTTCTTCCAGTAAAACTGACAGAATTCAGCAGGAACACTGGCTGACAAGTACAAAAGCCTTTTGAAGCAAATCCCTAGAATTTAAAACCAATCTGACAGAACAAACTGAAAACTCTGAATAAAGGCATAAGACATGCAGGTAAAAGACAACTAAGGCATGTACATGAGCAAATTTATTTTTATGCATCATTTGCAAGAAGTTTTATCTTGGGGAGAGGGCTGTACGTTTCAATTTATCTGAAAGCTTGGTCAACAGTTCTCCACTACAAGAAGCCTGCCATCTAACTTCAATTTTAAAATTAACAATCCCTATCCAGAAAGTAGCTCTTATTTTTCACTTGTTCTGCTTATCAAAAGACTGCACAAGAACCTGGCCCTCTGATGGCTAAATTTCCAGTTAAAGTGAGGCTAATTTATACAGGCTTGCTCCTGTGACAACCTTGTTGTGACTTTAAATGCCTCTTTATCCTTCCAGCTTTTATGTGTCACCAGATTAGCAAATCAAGCTCTTACAGGGTATGTTTATACAGCCTTCCATAGGCAAATATGCACATGCTCTTCTATGCAGTTAGATGGCTGTGTGAGAGCCAGATACAAACTGGATGCTGTGCAGACCTGCGTAGGACATTACTAAGCCTGAACTGATGGGCTTTGACTAGGGCAGCAACTTGGTCTTACACCTCTTGGGTCACATTAACCTCACCTCTATCTGGCTGAAAGCATGGAAAGAATGAGTGCGTACTTCCAAAATACCCCAAGCACACAAGCCTCAGCTGCTCCTTTGAGAGCCTCTCTACTCCTCTGTGCACTCCTCCATAGTCTTGCTAATCAGCTGCCTTCTCTTTTGAGCAGGGCCTATCACCAAGCTACCCAAGTACTTCATCTGTGCTGTTTGTCGATGTGCTGGGATGCATGCAGAATGACAAGAGGGACAGATTTTGTCATCCCCTTCTCTGGGTTCTATGGGGATGACCTACAATCTTTAGGAAATAGCTACAATCTTGTAGTACCAGGTCAGCTACAGTGATGGCCTCACCAGCAAGCTCAACTTCCTAACAGAAACACCAACACTCTGCACCTGGGTGCAGTTTTGCAGCCAAATGAGCTTTGCTTTGATTTTGCATGCAAGGGTTGAACCATAAAGCAAGCACAAGAAACCACCTATACTATACAGGAAAGAAGAAAACTGGCCAACTCTAGTGAATCTGTATTTTATTAAATTAACCTGATTTTGTGTTTGAAAGTCAAAGCTATACAATTTGCTTCTTACTGTAATTAAAAGAAGGCATTGATTATTGCATAATAAACCACTTTGACAATGAGGAAGTGTTAATTTTGTATTGGAATTGTGGATCATGGCAACTAATTTCATGAAATAGTTAAAACGGTGGCATGATTATTCTGTCAACCATGACAAATGATGGACATTTTATATTCAAACAATGTGGAAGCTGGATCTGAAATTACATTAGTGCACAAATTTATGCAAAGCGTAGCATCCTTTCAAACATTTTGGGAAGGTCCCTTAGCAATTTAAAAGCTCATGATCTTAGAAATATCCCAAACAAACAAAAAACAGCCACAAGCCCTCAGGCTACCATTCAGACATCTGTAAGTCAGTATTTCCTGATCTATTATTGACTACCTCTAATACCTGTTCATCAGCTACAGAACTTCTTGGACAACAGAGCCAAACAGGCAACTTTATGGGACCACTCATGTTTATTACATCTGTGCTTTGTATCTATCAATAACAGGCCACTTAGTTTTGCCAAACAAAACCCATGAACACCATCTGTCCTTCAATCACTCCAACTTTAAAAATAAATACTATCTAGAACTCAAATACTGCAAAGGGATCGAAAAACAACTGTCACTGACAGATAAAAAGAGGAAAAGACAAATTACTTATCAAATGTACTCATGTTTGCTCTCTATCTGTAAATATTAGCTCCCATATATATAGTGTTCAAAACCAATGGAAATACAAATAAAGCTAGATATGATGGAAAACAATAGTTCATCAGAACAGGATGTCCCAAACTTTACAGCTCTAAAGATCCAACTTGCCTAATTTTTTTGAAGGGTTTTTGCTGATCAAACCTTCTATGCAACAGCTAATTCTTTCTCCTCTTCTATATGCTAGTATTATATATAACATGTTGAGAGTCAGAAACAGATGAACATCTCTGAACTATCTTAATGTCTAAGCAGAAATCCTTCAATGCTGACCTCATCTCAAAGGTACAGGGAACACAGTTTGCAACCCCCAAGTCTGGAACCGACTGGGAACTCCACAGCACAAATCAATGAAGACATCAGGTATAAGAGAGGCTGCTGTACCAAGAGACTTCAGTGGCAGGAAATGCTTTCTGCATGCCGTTCCCCTGTGTGACAGGTGGCTCCCCCCACCCCTCACCCAGAAAGATGGCTGCTCTGAACCACCTTCCCTCGACAGTGATGAATAGCTCCACTCATCAGTTCACAGAGTGCTCAAAAGTCAAAGCACGCTTTGAAAAACATTGCATTAGAAACGTGGCTCCATTGACACACCACGTTTCTAAGGACACAGCATTCACTACAGCTGCATCTGCTGGGAAGTGTGTAAATACGAGACATGTACTACACTGTAAATTCACACGAGCTATTAGGTATAAACTTTAATGAAATCTAAGCACTAACCCCAGTCACATTCAGACTGGTAAAGCTACAAAGGCATTTTCACAGACAATGGTCTAGGAGTTATGTTAGTTCCCAGGAATTTCGCAAAGCGTTTTTCTCTTGTTACCTTGGTAACGGCTACCTTGGCACCCCTGTTGATAAGCTGCACCACATTCTCCACTTGGCCTTTGTGGGCAGCTACAAGCAGGCGTTCTGAAAGCACGGCAACCACATCCTGCTGGCTCATGAATTAGGAGAGACAGGTTTTCACAATTCCTCGGTCCAAAAACAAAGGCTTGGGATCAGTTCAAGCGGCATGCAGACAGGCGAGGAAGGACCCCAGCTCCTTGGACACTGACGTTACTGCTATGCCATCCTCTGGACCTGTGGATCAGAAAACAACACTGCTGTCAGCAACGTTTCAGAGACAGAAGCACTGCAGCAGCTCCTCCCTGGTCGTCTGCCTTTGCACCGCTTTGGAAGGGGGTCACAAAAAAGCCTCAAAGCCTCCTGAAGACACTGTATTTCTCTTGCAAAGCAGAGGGATACAGACAGTACCACATAATGTGCCCTCAATCCCCTAGTTTGGAACAAAAATCCTTAAACTTCCTGAGAGCTTTTGGCCTAACCTGTATCTGTGTGGCCCCCTTTCATTCCATCCTTCCCACTGGGTTTCCCAGACTTGAATTAGCCAACTACATCCACTGCAAACAGTAGCTCAGCCTGTGTTGGCCAAAGGAACAAGAATATGTTACAGTTACTGGCTGCTGATACAAATACACAAACCTCTGCAGTGGAAGGACTGAGCGCAGTCAGCAATTAAAGGCAGCTGACTGCTCCCTCATGAGTATAAAATGCTTCACAGCCTCTCCCAAGGACACCTCTGGGAGGGATCATGACCTGCAACTGGGAAACACTCATTTTTGCTGTCAATGAGAAATGATGTTCCCCCTGCAGTGCTGACATCACGCCCCACTGACCCCAGCAACAATTCAGATGTAGCACTCATCACACAAACTTGTGTGTTTTTCTTCCTGAGCTCCCCTGACCTGTTCAGTGAGCTATCAGAGCTGAAAAAGGGTTTCTGACATAATTCCAGAAAATGCATCCACAGATCACTTTTAAGCTGTAGGACCCAGAACCTGCCCACTCTGGGAGGGTTTCAGCTTTACCTCTGCTTTTCACACATGGGTATTTAACTGTTTCAGTACAGGAAAAACACCTTCAAGATAGCTAGTGCGTATCTAGATGATTTATCTTTCTCTCTCTTGAAATATCACTGCACTGCTCCTTATCAGCTATCAGTATTACACACGTTGCACAGTCTAAGTAATCGCTACAGGGACTAGATTATCATGGAGATTGATAGCAGAATACAATGCCTCTCACCCTTACATTATTCTTTTGAATCCATCTCAAAACAGCAGTAACTAAAAGCTATTACTAAAAGCTATTACTGCTTTATGTCTTTGCTGCCCCCCTAAATTGATTTGTTTGTCTCAGTTTAGCTGATATTACAAAACCCTCCCCATCATAATCCCACCACTCAGAGTACTGACATTTTTGCTAACAGCTTCAGCAGGGAGATCAGCAGCAGAACAGCAGAAAGATTTAATTTCCACCCTCATATCAAGATGTCACTCCCAGCAACAAGGAGAAAATGCATGGATGGCTTTGGCACGTGAACTCCTTGTCTTTAAAATACTGGGGGTGAGACCTTTGAATGAACATCATTCCAGTGTTACTGGACTGTGTCCACCGGTACCCTTTCTGTGACAAAAAGATGCTGTAGCCCTGTTTAATTAAATAGTTAATAGGGTATTGTGATCTCCTGTGTCACCAAAGTGGTATCCAAAGTCCCTGGACACTACAGGATCACTGATGTACACTAAGCATTTTTGGTCACATATATTAAAACCATTCTGGTTAATTTGTAGTAGTAGATGGTATTAGGAGAATTTAATCTGCACTCCAGTGGTAATTTGTATTAATGAATCTTGAAACCCTTTATGAGCAGTAATTCTTATAACACTCTTTGAGGTAAATAATATGCTCAAATATATTACATGCATTTTAGAAAAAGGCCTTTGAAAGCACAGGAAAGTTACTTGTTTCCCCAAGGTTAATAGAAAAGTTATGTCAGAGCCAGAAAGTAACTGCAGATAATTGACTCTTAATTTATATATATATTAAGTAATACTATTTCCAGGTAAAATATTCAGGTTAGCTTTTCCTCACCTTCCCCTTGCTTTCTAAGTGTAAACATGCTTGGCGTAATACGGAAATAACCACACATTTATTAAGGGAAACATGACAAACTTTCTGGGCCTCAGAGGCACTGCAACAAGAGACAACAGAGAAGTGGTGCCACTGGACTGGTCTCACACCCTCACTGTGACAGACAGAGTCTGGACACCCTGGTAACATGGAAAAGATGGAAGACAGAAGAAAAACCCCTTGTATGTTTCACCAGCACTGTATACATCATACCCTGCTGCTCTGGCACACTGATGTGCGCAGTATAGTACAAACGAATAAGTACAGGTGGCCTACACTTAGTAATCTGGTCTGTGAAAAGCAACCCAAATTTCAACATCGCCTCCCTAAGTACTTGTTTTCTGGCGACTTGTGTGAGCTGAACCCCCCTGAGCCCAGTCCCCCTGCTCCCAGCACATCCCAGAGCAGCACCTCTCTAATCCAGGAGCACTTCCCACTCCTTCCCTCCTAACCAGCACAGTGCAGGGCAAAGCCTTACAACAGGGATCTTTCTCTGTGAGCTTTTCAGGCAGAGGAATGATTTGTTTCTGTGCCAGCCTTGGCTGTGCAGCAGTAGTTGCCAGATGAACTGTACCTTCGCTTCTTTGTCCCCACCTAAGCTGGCTGCCTATGCTTTGGATGGAGTCATGCACAATACAGTGACAACTCTGCACCTTAGAACATTTGTTGTCAAACCCTGCTTGGTTTTCTTACCCTTGAAATTAAAAATAAAGAAACAAAACAAAACAGTAACATCATTGTGACTGAGACATTTCTATATCCACTGCAAAAATCTCCATGGAGATAATTTCCTGACATGCTGACATTTCTGAGCAATTTCACATAAGCTGTAGATGTTCATTACATCTTAGCCACACTGCTATAAACATACCTTAATACATCAACTGACTCACAACTGTGCAAAGTTCAGCACTGCTGGGAAAAAAATCTGGTTAACAGGTACATACCTGTACAAGGTAATGCTGGAAATTGTACTCCCTAGTTTGAATTTTAATTCCTCTTTCTCACTGCGTTCCCATCACTGCAGAACATTCCCCCCCAGAGATCAAGAGCTTCCTCAGCCTGCCACGTCCTGCCACACTGGTGTGACAGGCTGTGATGCCACTGCTGTTATCATGTAGTTTGCCTTCTTGCCTTTTCCACTTCTTGGATCACTTATAAAGGCATAGCAAGGAGTTGATTCAGCTATTGGTCTTTTATGGATGTCTCCCACATTGACCGAGTCTCCAGCAGCCGTCAGTCCCTTTACTGTAGGGCAAGCACATCACAAGCCATGCTCCTGCTCTGGGCTGTTTCACAGATGGACACTGGCACAACAGGTCACATTCCCCACACCAGCTGCTTTACATCACCTTAGCTGAGATTATTTGCAACTCAGAAAAGTGCATCCGATTAGGACAAGAAGCCCAGACAACTCTAAAACCAACTTCCCTTTTCTTCTGTGCTGGTAGGTAGGTGACCAGTGGGAGAAGGAGGGGAAAGAACCCTCTCATTCCCCTCCCACGGAACCTTCCCCAGCCTGGTGGCTGAACAAGCAGTGGCATCACTCCCTGCCAGCTTTAACTCCCTACATGCCACACACATAAAGCATCTCTACTTGATCATGTCCCTACTTGCAGCAGAAGGAGGAGGGTACCAGATGCCCAAGGACTATAATTAAAAGCTCAACCACCCTTTTCACACCCAGATGGTGCAAAATGAGCCAAAGAACACAATTACAGGTGCTGCATCACATCCCTGCTGTTAGAACCTGCTGTCCAGGATTAAATCCCTTATTATCATCCCCCAAATCCGGGAACCCCGGGTGAAACACAGAGCTCAGGAATATTCAAACCTCCTGCCTTCAAAACAACAACAAAACAAGGATTTTGCTTCAACATATTTTTAAATAAGCCACATCTGTGTTTTCTCTAAAATCAGATTACTTACCTGGGGCAGGCTGGGAAAGCAACACCTACTTCCCAATCCTCTCCAGGGAAACCAGCCAGGTGTGAAGCCCACCGGTTCAGTTGCTTCACCAAATGGCAATCCCTTCTGAGAACAACCTGCTCACCCCATCGGCAGAGCTTGGAAACAGACCTGGGAAAGCAACACCTACTTCCTGATCCTCTCCAGGGAAACCAGCCAGGTGTGAAGCCCACGAGTTCAGTTGCTTCACCAAATGGCAATCCCTTCTGAGAACAACCTGCTCACCCCATCAGCAGAGCTTGGAAACAGACAGGTGATCATGGATTAACATTCCTGACCAGCAGCAGTGAGGCACCATCACCAGGCACTGAGGTCCAGCTGCATCCCCATGGATGCTGCACTCAGCTCAGTGAGTCACTCTGCTCTACGGATGCTCTAGGAGATGTTTGGCCAGGATGGCACAGCAAGGCACAGGCAGGCAGCCGGCTGCTTGGTGGCAGGGACTCAAAGCTCACAGCTCTGGCCTCTCTCCCATGCAATTGGCAGAGTGGACAAAAAACACCTCATGCACCTTCCCCCTCCCCAGCTCCTTCCCCTCCAAATCGCTTGCAGGCTGCTTAAGCATGTGTACTGCCAAAAAAGTACAGGAAAGATGATTTCTAAAAACCAGAGGGAAGCCCAGGACAATCAAAGGTGTCATTAAGAAAACCATACCAGTAGCAGCTATATATGGAAAACAGCAAAGCCCCACCAAGTCAAGAATAATGTGCTTTTGGATCATACTTTTCTTTACAACACCACCAATACTATTTTTAGAGTTAGATTTTATACCAATCAATGTTTCAAACTGGACACCTACATAAAAGTCTGGTAGTTTATATGTTCTCTCTGCATTTTTTCCTATTTTCATTGCATATTTTATCACACCAAGTAAAATTATCCAGTTTGCAGATGGACAGTTGTGTGATTCATCACCGAGCATCAGCATGGCCTGGTGGCACATCAGTGAAAGCACTTCCTAGGCTTTTAGTTTTTCCCACTTGTTGATATTAATTACTCCAACAATGACTATTTAGCAGCCTCCCAGGGAGCATCTGCATGACAGCTGCTCATCACGCTTCCCACCACAACCAGACTGGACTGGTTGATGGCACTGTTCCACTGCAGCTGGTGGCCTTTTTACCACCAAGATCAACCTT